AATGAAGCTGCGGAGAATGAAGAGTGCAACTTCGTGGGCGGTCGCTGCTGGTAGAGCTGCAGTCTCAGCGTAGCGTGTCAGATGATCGACGCCGACAATAATCCACCGGTTTCCAGAGCGACTATATGGGAGGGGGCCATAGAGATCGATACCCACGCGGTCGAATGGGCGAGCCGGGCATGGGAGCGGCTGTGACATGCCAGTAAGGTGCCGCGGAGGTGTCTTGTTCTGTTGGCAAGTGGTGCAAGACTGAACGTATTTCTGCACAAAGCGATAAATTCCTCGCCAGTAATATCGTTGGCGCAGCCTTTCGTAGGTTTTCAGGACACCTGCGTGAGCACTTTGAGGGTCTGCATGGAAATTCATGCAGATGTCAGAGCGCATATGAGTTGGGACAGCAAGGAGCCACTTCCGACCACCAGGCATGTAGTTCCGGCGGTACAGAATGCTGTCTCGCACGGAAAAGTGGGCTGCTTGTCGGCGTAGCGCTCTCGTGGAAGGGACAGCAGACGGATCGGTAAGGTAGTCGAGTAACAATGCAAGGTATGGATCTTTACGCTGCTCCGAAAGCATGTCAGTGGTGTCTATTGGTGACAAGGTGGTAAAAAGTGGTGGCAGAGAAGCCACATCTGGGGTCAAAGGCGATCGCGAAAGTGCATCGGCATCTGCATGCTTGCGACCGGAACGATATACTACACGGATGTCGTATTCTTGCAATCGAAGTGCCCAACGTCCCAGGCGTCCGGACGGGTCTTTCAATGTGGACAGCCAACATAGAGCGTGGTGGTCTGTGACCACGTCGAAAGGGCGGCCGTAAAGGTACGGGCGAAACTTCGTCAAGGCCCAGATTATGGCCAAACACTCCTTCTCTGTCACGGAGTAATTCAATTCAGCCTTCTTGAGAGCGCGACTTGCATAGGCGACTACGTATTCGGCTTGGGTGCCTTTCCGTTGTGCCAAAACTGCACCAAGACCGATGCCACTTGCATCGGTGTGAATTTCTGTGGCAGCAGCGGGGTCGTAGTGACGAAGAATAGGTGGTGAGGTCAGCAGGCGGCGCAGCTGGCGAAATGCGTCGTCACATGCAGGTGACCATGCAGATATACCTTTGCTGTTGGAGAGCAGACTTGTTAGAGGTGCGATGATGGATGCGAAGTTGGGCACAAAGCGACGAAAGTACGAGCAGAGACCGACGAAACTTCTTAGAGCTTTCAGTGATGTGGGCAACGGGAAGTCAGCGACAGCCCGAAGCTTATCGGGATCCGGAAGAACACCGTCTCTTGTGATGACATGTCCCAAGATGGTTAGTTTTCATGCTGCGAAGTGGCACTTTTTGGAGTTAAGTTGTAGGCCCGCAGAAGTTAGACACGTCAGAATCTCGTGGAGGCGAACAAGATGTGTCGGGAAATCAGACGAAAAGACTACGATGTCGTCCAGGTAACACAAGCAAGTTTTCCACTTATGGGCACGCAAGATGGTATCTATCATGCGCTCAAATGTGGCAGGTGCGTTGCAGAGCCCAAATGGCATCACTTTGAACTTACATAGACCATCTGGCGTTACAAAGGCTGTTTTAGGGCGATCACATTCAGCCATTGGCACCTGCCAATACCCAGAACGCAGATCCAAGGATGTAAAGTACTCGGCGCCTTGTAAACAGTCAAGAGCATCGTCTATTCGTGGTAGCGGGTAGACATCTTTCTTCGTAATCTTGTTTAAGCGGCGATAGTCCACGCAAAATCGAACGGTGCCATCTTTTTTCTTGACCAGAACGACAGGTGATGACCAAGCGCTTTGAGAAGGCTGTATCACTCCACGTTTAAGCATGTCGTCTACTTGCTCCGTAATGACGCGGCGCTCTTCGGCGGAAACGCGGTAAGGACGCTGTCGCAGAGGCAAATGTGAGCCGGTGTCAATAGTATGAGTGATAGTCGTGGTGCGGCCCAAAGCAGGTTCTTGAAAGTCGAAAGAAGAGCGAAACTTGTTAAGGAGAGCAACAAGTTGGCGGCGATGCGAGAGGGGAAGGTCTGCGTCAATAGCATTGTCGAAGGCTGACAAACTTGATGGCTCAGACGCATGAGTTATTGCGGCAATGTGACATGGCGTTTCGTCGGGAAGAATAATATCATCGATATGGTCGACAGGTTGCACATATCCCAACGTTTCACCACGAAGTAAGCTGATGGGGTAGTTGCAGTGGTTGGTAACCAGCATTACGGTTAAACCAGATGCAATTGTAAGAACGGCAAATGGGAGAACGATGCCCTTGCGTTCAGTAAAAACAGGAGATGGCGTAAACACCACCGTGGCGTCAGGTTGCGCCACACATGAAAGGCTTACAGGGACCGAAGCTTCCGGGGGCAAGGTGATGTCGTCGTCAGCGATGAGTTTGCAGAGCCGAGGAGACCGGTCGGGTGGTGGAAATTCATATGTTGGCACAAGGGACACTTCGGCACGGGAACAATCGATGATAGCTTCATGACCTGATAAGAAATCCCAACCGAGGATAAGGTCATGAGAGCAAGATGGCAGAACAAAAAACTGTACGACGTACATAACATCTTGGATGACGACGCGCGCCGTACACAGAGCCGAGGGATGAATGCGTTGCGAGCTAGCCGTGGACAGCACCATGCCACAGAGAGATGTGGTCACTTTCTTCAGTTTCCGACAACATTTGACGTCCATCACAGAAACGGCGGCCCCGGTATCAATTAACGCTAATGTGGCGACTCCCTCAACATCGACATCAACAACATTTTTCGGCGAAAACGGAGGCCTTGGGAATTGCGCACAAGTTGCAGTTCTTGCCTCCGGAACTGCACTGATTAGTTTCCCTCCTCAGGAGGTGGTCGACGACGCATAGGCGATGGCGACCGGCGACGAGGGGATGGGAAAAGAGCAGTCGATGGGCGGCGATCCGAGTCTGAGTGCCTCTGTTCATATGCAGATGCGGTGGCCTGCTGCGGCGCGTAGGTAGGAGTTCCGAAGTATGCGTTTGCAGGTGTGGGGCGACGGCGGCAGAAGCGTGCAATGTGGCCAGCGATGCCACAGGCGAAGCAGATAGGACGATTGTCTTGAGTGCGCCACTCATTAGATCGATGGAAAAAGCGAGGTGAGGGCCTGTAAACTGGAGGCGAGGCCGGAGGAGGTGGAGCAGATAAGGCGACTGGATGCGGTGGGGGCCGCGCGACCACAGCTGCGTAGCTGAGAGGTGAAGGTGGTGCAGGTGGTGCGTAGCCGACAGCTGAGAGATTAGGCGCTACTCCACTACGCCTTGTTCACTCTTCTATGTTCTACTTGGAGTGGAGTGAGTGAGTGAGAATTTATTAGAAGGCAGAGAGGTCGGCCTGAGCTAGTTCGCTCTAGCCTGCTGCTCTGCACAGGGGATATAGGGTCCCCACCATCATCCTTCATCCCTCTTTCCTTTCCCCTTCTCTACTTGGTGTGTCTACTAAAATTGGTGTGCGGTTTAAATATAGTGGGCAACATTTTGTGTTTCATGAGATGGCACCATTGCCGACCGAGTAATAGCAGAACTCCTGATTTGATTTGATTTGTGGGGTTTAACGTCCCAAAACTACCATATGATTTTGAGAGACGCCGTAGTGGAGGGCTGCGGAAATTTCGACCACCTGGAGGTTCTTTAACGCGCACCCAAATCTTAGTACACGGGCCGACAACGTTTCCGCCTCCATCGGAAATGCAGCCGCCGCAGCCGGGATTCGATCCCGCGACCTGCGGGTCGGCAGCCGAGTACCTTAGCCACTAGACCACCGCGGCGGGGCGTAGCGGAACTCCAGTTATAGCCTTTTACATAATTCATGATTTCGCTGTGTGTGTCCTCCGCGGTGGTGTAGCGGTTACTGCTCGGCTGCTCAATCGAAGGTGGCGGGTTCGGTGCCGGTCGCATTTCAAAGGGGAGGCGATATGGAAGAAGTCCATCTGCGTTGCGATGTTAGCGCACGTTACACCAGACGGTCAAAATTTCCGGAGCCTTCCACTATGGCGTCCCTCACGATAATATTGTCGTTTTGTGATGTAAAACTCCAGATATTATGAATTCACTCTTTATTACAAACTCCATGCTTTTACTTTTCGTCGGTTCGCTGCCACTAAAGAATTACGAATTCGCTTGAAATATAGTAGCCCCTTGTCTATTCCACATCGCTAATCCATCTAATAGAATTATTCATTTTCCCTATCGGTCCCTTAATTATTTCAAACATTCCGTATCATATGCTCCCAAGCTTCTACACGAAAGCTGTCAATCGAATTTTGAAAACCATGCTACACCTCCTCTGTTTTCATTTTGCTGGCACCTACATTTAATAAGGCTGAATTTGCATAATCTGCTGCTTCTTCACTATCTCCATGTCATTTAGATTCCAGCGGGGTTATTATTTTTTTTGTGGAGCTTAAAATACAACAGAATGTATATATTTATTAATGCTTCATTGTCAATTAATGTTCATTGATCGTTGTAAAACAATAAATGCACTTGCATTCTTCACACGACAGACATTTCTCCCACTGAGGCAGTCGTAGAAGGATTGTTCACGTAAAACAATAAAGAAATGGTGGCCCACCAGCATTGAACGAGTGATCGCACACATACATACACTGCATTGGATATAGTTTTCAGAAGTGAAAGCGCACGCGCGCACACACACGCGCATGCACATCACGATGACAGCTAAAACTATCAAGTAGATTCTATACCCAAAAATTAGCGCGCCGGGGAAGTGGGAGCGTCTGTTCATGGTGAATGTGTGCCTGAGAATACATGTACATAGCCGTGTATATGCATGAAAACCCATGGAAGCTGAAAGAGCTGAACTGATTCCCCTCCATTTTTTTATCTATCTCGAAGTTCGTTGTTTGTCAGTCACTGGGCTACGCCTTTCTAACTTCGCGTGCACAAGCCTGAAACCAAAACCGAAATCGCTATCCAGACAAGTGAAGTCAACCGCATCCGTCCGCCCAGTCGATCCAAAGCCAAAAGGACGCGCGCTGCCTGCCATGTGTTTTTGTGTTTGTTGAGTGCCGTTGCGTTTTGAGAGCTTTTTTAAATAATTGCGTGATATTTGTCGAGTTCTGTGACATTGCGCGTCGTAGAAAACGTCCTGCCATGCCTTCTGTGGAGGCAAAAAAGTAAGTATCGGCCCTAATATATGAAATAGCAATGAAAACACGCGAGCAGCTAGCCGACACTTTGGGGTATGAACTTTGATGTGAGTATTCGGAAGCACATGAACCTTTAATGTTAATTTTTTGTTAATCGATGCCATGTACCGTAGAGTAGCATGCCGTAGGCTTCGCGAACATACCGTGTCATGTCTGTCAGTTCCACACTGGACAATGAAATCATCCGGCTTTGGTAAAAATTGTTGCTGGGCTTAGTACCTTTGTATATGCTTTCATGTTTATATAAGCTTCTTCCTCCTAGATTAATGCGTATTTGCACTAACTGTTATTCTGGGAATTTTAGGAAGTCAGCTACCGTGTAGCTGGCAGAAGATCTTCCATGAACAACAATGATCAGTGTGGCACACTACAACACTTTAGCTACGTAAATATGTGTGCGCTTTTGAAAGCAGTCATCACTAATAGAGGAGAAGGATTGAAGGTGGAAGGACAAGGAGGTTAGCCATAAAAATAGAAAGTTATTTTGAAGCTAGCAGTGTAGGTCTTCCTTGAACTACATTTCGGGTAATTTGGTTTGGGCCGCAAGACGCGCTCTAAACATTCGCTGAGAAATGTTTAGGGGACATTCTTCGTGCCTCAGTTGACTAGAATATCTAACCACTGTTGACACCTCTGGTGATGTGATAGATAAGCTGTTGCAAAATTTCATTGCTTCGGTCAGTGTTTTGGCCACTAGTGAGATTACTATGAAAGGATACTGTCGCAGTTTTGAATATTACCTCTGCTCTCATGTAAGCAATTCTGAAGCAATCGTTCCGCGGCATTTTCGTCGTATTGGTACGTTTAATGAGTACATTTCGTGATGTTTCGCTCAAGTTTGCGACACTCATTCAGGAACCTGTTGAGGGCTGCTCACACTTTGCTGTAGTCCTCAAACCTGTATTCGCGGATGACATTTTACACTGATAGGTCTCACCACCATGCACTTTTCGTCATTAATGTTTGATTTTTGTACAATTAGGTATGAAGTTCCCAGTAGCTTTTCTGCTACTACTGGTAACGTTGCGCTCCCAGTAGAAGAAATTTCGTCAGACGAGCACCGCCTCTGGCTCATCCGAACTCCAACTGACGTGAGTATCGAAATGTCACAAATGGGGCTTCATTGCAACAAATACTTTTATTACGTGCTCAAAATCGCTTACTGTGAAAGTTTCTCTGAAAACCAGTTTGTTTTGTTTCCGAATATGCTATATTTCAAAGGACGTTAAGGTAGGCAGTGTGAGAATTATGTTTAGAATGACAGAAAGTTGATCTAGTTGGTACAGAATCACGATAAAAGAAGATTGGCTTGCAAACCCGGACACCAGGGTTTGTGTTGTCTTACTCTTCTCTTTAGCGTTTGCATGCCTATCTCCTTTTATTATTAAATTTAGTTACTGGTGTGGTGGTGATGTTTGCTCAGTAAGAAACTGTTAAAAGAGCTTTTGATATGTCCCCTGAAGTTGTCCCATCGAGCAAGGGGGTACACCTGCTTTTCAAAAGTGTTATTAATTAGTAGGGGCTGTTTTCACTGTCTCTTTGTAACAGGTTAACATTTCAAACCTGGATGGAGTGAAGATTTCCCTAAGAGGAGGTGAGCAAACTGAGGTCCAGATTGGAGACATTGGTTATGAATTCACAAGAAAAGAATATCACAGTGTAAGTCGTGTGGATGTTCAGTTACTGGAGGAATCAATACTCATAACTGTCACGATTTTTCGATCCAGGACACTCAGCACTTATCTGTTTTATTAAAAGAGGAAGAAGGCGAGCAGCTAACGCTTGGTGAGTATGCTATGTTCATTAATGACATCTCAATACAATGTAGAAATTATGAAGTATTAATGCTATGTAGACCTGTAAGTTCGCTTAAAGGCCACAGGAAAGACGAATTTTGAAGCATGCTGGGTTGCCACGCTTCCTTGGTCACGGCCTTGACATGCATCAGATGCAGCGATATCAGTGTCTCTTTATTTTTATGTTTGAGCACCAAAATAACTGTCCTTGTGAGCTTTCGATGATATCTCCAATAATATCTCAAATATAAAACATTTGTTGGGTATCTCACATAAAACTAAGACATTTAGGTGATCCAAAATTTTGGAGTTTCCAACCTGTAAGTGAACAATGCATCATATGATCACAACATTCGCAAGAGTCAGCGTTTTATCAAACCCCCTCATTACAGGAGCTTATGACACTGTTTTCATTTTAAACATTTTTAACGTATTTTGATACAGTTCCAATAATAATGCCATAAAGTTGTTATGATCATCATTTGCACATGGACCCTTGTTGCAGCTTCAGTCATTTTTTGTGGCATGGCTACTCTTACAAAGAAGGCATTGTGTCCGGAGATTCCTAAGACTGAAAGCCCTTCGAAGCGGCCTCGACTGGATTACTCAGCACATGAAACTGCCCGACAGCGTTTTGTACCATTTGGGTCAGGTAAGCTAAATATGCCAAAAGGAATATCGCATGATATATCCTTAAGCAATGCTCCTTTTTACGGATACTAGTATCCTAAAGAACATCATGGAAAAAGAGCAAGAGAATACCATTATGTTGATGCCATGGTGGAAGGATAAATTTTGTTAGCATTTACTTTGTTCAGGACTAGCTTGGATTGGTGAACCATAGGGCATAGAGTTTCTCAAAATTAACTAGAGCGCACTCTGGCGCTGCGATCGTTCAGCGACCATGGGAATGATGGGTAGTACACACATTTGCCTAGTCTTCGTACTTGCGGGCGGCGAATCGTACTTGAGGCTTCGTTTATTGACAAGTTTCGATTTTGTTTTGAAAGAAAGATTCAACACTTTTAAACTTCGTGACCCAATTTGAAAATGTAATTAAAAAAAATAGGGTGGTGAAGCGCAATCGCTGAACATTTGCCGATTTTTGTTTCGTGAGAAAACAACTTCAAGCCACACGAACACACACGGAGTCAAAAGCAGGCCAGAAGTACGAAGTTTAGACAAATGTGTGTACTACCCATCATTCCCATGCTCGGTGAAACGCTGTGTGTTGCAGCTCCCATAGACACTAGCGCCAGAGTTACCTCTAGTAAGTATTGTGAGAAACTCTATGCCATAGGGCACTTTGACGAGGGACGATGAGCAGAGAAATGCACGCCGCACATTGATTTGGGTGGTACATTTAGATTCATTACACATTAATTGCTTTTTAATTTACAATTCACAAACAGGAAAGAAACTTTTTTGCGGAACCAATCCTGCTTCCATTATCTCTCTAGTCACTTGATTTTTTCGCAGTGCCCCTTATGTTGCAGATCACAAACTACGTGATGCCAAACAGGCAAGAAAGAGTGTCCCACACTTGCCGTAAGGGCAACAGGTGGCGCTTACTGAAGCTGTTACGTTTAAAATGCGCACATATACCCTATAAAGTGGACGAAGAGATGACCACCACCGTAGCTCAGTGGTAGAGCACTGGACGCATTATTCTTAGGTCGTAGGTTGGGATCCTTCTGGCAGCAAGTTATCTTTTCGTCCACTTCTCTTTTTTCACATATACAATACGATTAGGTACTTCTAATAGCATCTGCTATACTTTCTTTGGCATTATTGTATGTTAGTTCTCATTAATATTGTGCTTAACAAAGAAAAACGTGCCCTTGAAGTGTGCACTTTTCTTCATCTTTCGTGTAAGGGAATACGAAAATGCCATTCTTTATAAGTCAAGATTTCTTGCTCTAACGAATGGAATTCATTCTAAGCTAATCCTTCATGTTCATACTACCTCCTAGTCTGGAGAGATTGGTTTTGCATTGTGTTTTACCTATTTTGCCAGAAAAAAAAATGATTATTTTAATGAAGTACTGCTATAGTGAGGCACTACTTTACAAGTCTCCATAGCATCCAATATATAGCGCATCCAGGATGGCTCAAAGCAGAAGGAACATAACACACGGACAGTGCCATCTTCTGGTTTGTCTCATCCTGGTTGCTATAGATAACCAACAAGCCCGCGATAGAACTTTAGATAGAAGTCTGCGGCATTTCTTCCTTAAAGGCGGATATTCAAGCCTGCTCTTATAGGCATGCACTCCAAACTGTTATCACAAGTCGAATTGCCAGTGAACTGCCTTCAGGAAACATTACCATGTGCATAAGTGGCGAAATTATTTGTTTAGCCATAGAAGGAATCAGCTGTCCTGCTACAGTCATCTAGGTGCGGACCTTTTTGGGCTTGTCCAACTATAGTGTACAACCTTTTCATGAAAACACTACTGAGATGCCTTTTGAATGCTGTGCACGATTACGAAAGATATCGCTTCACTGCCATGATGGTTGTACAACTATTTCTTGAACCTCTCTCTTTTATTTTTTTCTTTCTCTCTTGTTCAGATGACGTTGTGACCCTCAGCAAACGACACAAAGACAAGGCAGAGAAGGTAAAAAAAGCCAAGAAGTCAAAGAAGTGACCTGCTCTCTTTTGGACAACACCGTTGTAACGGACATTCGGGCACCTCAGGTGCTTTTACGTTGAAGTTGTGCTTTAAAGGTCTGCTCATGAAGAAAACAAATGATCTTTTTTGCATATTAACGAAGTGGTGTTAAATAAAGCTGTAAATGTGCAGCAACCCCTTGTTGCATTGTTGACTAATAGTACTGGTGTTTCTTTATTGAGTTAAATTAGCATTTAATTAGCACCAACTGGATATTGTCCGCATGTCCATGGGAGTGGTTTCCCACATTGATTTAATATACTGACTATTTGATTTCCTAGTACGAGAAAGCGTTATTGCCAGTCAGCATTCTTTGCTAAATTAAGAAAACGCTTGGATATCCGTCTACGTGCGTGACGTAGACTTAACATAACTGCGGAAAAGGCTCACACTAGTGCATTCACAAAACGAGTCTACAGTGTCTCAAAAAGCGCGCGTTTATATTGCATCATCGCGCACGTGGCGGTATCTGGCGTGCGCCGATGACACTGCCGTAAGCGTTAGAGAGATAAATAAAAGACACTACTACAGGGGAGCATTTTACATTTTGCTTGAGGCCTACAAGTCTGCAACAGGCATTGAAAAGCATGTAAGCGTGGAAGATCGAAGAGAAAAGAGCGTCAGTAGCGCCATGCAGGCATAGCGGCATAAAAGAAAAAAACATTAGTTTGAGCACGTTTCAAACGTGTTGTTGTTTCGAGTAGACGATGAATACACCAATATCCCGCAATGAACACCGCTCAGGTCATTGCGAGGAACACGTTGGAACCCTCCGACTGATTACTCACGCATTACACCGCCGGTGAACCCGTGTGTTCCGAAAAGAAAAAGAAATACGCTAGCGGTCACGCCCAATGGTCGTGCGTGTTTTGGAACACCACGGGAAAACAAAATGGCCGCCACTTGGCAGTGAGCAGCGCGGAGTAGCGCATGTGCAGGAGCCTGTGACTGGGCGTTTTCGTCGTCGCCGAGGCCTAAGAAATAAAAAAGCCGTCCGCGCATACGCATCACGGTTAACGTTGTAATTCTCTGCCGACATGAGTGCGTCACATGGCTGTGGAGTGCAGTGAATTGCCGCTTCGCCGCTACCTGCTAAACTTCGTGCTTTTCGTCGCCGACTTCATTCAGGCAAGCGTACGCCCAAGCAGCAAGATGCTCTACCTCGAAGACTATCTCGAGAGTGAGTACAATGCGATACTTTTTTTTTTCCCTTCGCCTAAAACGTTTACCACGCTACCGAGCTGCTTTAAATGCTGCGCCCGCGAGCGCTCTTAATACGAACGTTCCAAGCGCGCGTATTCTAACCTGTGTCTGCGGTGGAAGTTTGAAGAGTCAAACGTTCAAAACTCGAGTCACGCTTATGCTTGGTCTAATTTTCGTTGCTTCGTTTCTCTTTGCAGTGATCGAGCACCTGCCTCAGGAACTTCGGGACAGGTTCACGGAGATGCGAGAGATGGACCTGCAAGTTCAGAGTACGCTCCGAGCTATGCACGAATTTCGGACGGAGCGGCGCGCAGTGCGAACACCACTCGCTAACGACGCGTGAATTCGGTCTGCACGCGAAAAACTGGCGCGTAGACTTCAGTTACTGCAGATACTAGATACTATAAGACGAGTTCATCTACGAATGGAAATAAGTTCCCAAACAGCGGCTCAGAACACCGAATTTGTGCATATACGCGTAATCTCGCTAGTGATATTTGTAGTATACGTTTATTTTTTTTTTTGGTATGTAATGTGTTTGGAGTAAGTTTTGCCGTGAACTTCACGATATGACGTTTAAAGAAAAGTCATATTGCTGTAACATCCGTGCTGTGTGCATCGGGAGTATTTTCCGTCCGGTGACGGGCTAGCAAATGCACGTGCGTAAGGGTTTTTCCTTTCTGTCAAGCGTCGCACGTCACTGGAGGGCTTACACTGTTGTGCAAATAAAAGTTATTATTCTTTTATTGCCTTAGTTCATCGAAACGGGAAGTTGTACATAGAAACTAATTTCATTTGTTCAAGATTGGTGTGCTGATACCATGGACAGATGTACTTTTGTAGTCTTAATTTCTTGCAAGGCGAAAAACAAACTCGAAAGTGCGTGCAAAAGTTATTTGCACCTAGTGCCCTGTGGCAAGGAATGGGAAGAGAACAACGATGATCATAAATCTACTTTTATACATTAGCAAAACCGGTCAGATGGGAGACACAGTAAATGCAGTTGGATTACATGTAGCGAAATTACTAACAAAAAGAAAACTAACGTATGAAACTAAGATCTGAAGAAGAGAGCTACTAATTAACACAAATTTAATGCGTTGGTATCTGCTTGTGGTTACAAGTGCGTAAAGGGCATGTTTTAACAGTGCACCTGACATTCTGTTCAGCAGTATCAAACGTTTCTAGATTTAAGTTTTGGTGCTTGCATAGATAACATAACTTTCAAAAAGTTGCAGTCAATACGACTTTTGTAAGTTTAACAGTGATAATGATAAAAGATTATGTGTTGCAGCATACTGAACTATTAAAAATTGTTCCACATTGCAGGGTCATACCCACAAATTTTTTCGGGCGATGTTTATGTGTAGAACGGCGAACTTTAGTAACTTGTTGTTGATGTGAAGGCGTGTAAATACCTTAGTATCGTTCTGGAAGCTAAAGCATGAAATATTTCGGGGTGTGTCGGGACCCTACAACTCCCTTCTAGTGACAGCCTTGCTTCATTATGTTGACTGTGTTTGCATTGTATTGACTTCCGGTACATACACATGGCGAAGTAAATTCAAGACCAGGAGTCGGCAAGAATTCTGGAGATTACTCGGACTCACTCGTGAAATATATTGTGCGCTTAGTGCTCACTCAAATCTGTCGAAGTTTTCCTGAGCTGGAATCACTCATACTCACCCTCACGACAATTTTCTCCTACCGGACTCTTACTAAAGCCCATCAAAATATTAGTCACCCAGACTTGCGGCTCAATCCAAGTATGAGCGAATCCGAGTGAGTTAAATCACGAGTCCATTAGCCTTTTCAAACATATTGCAATGCTCTTTAACACCAATACCTCACGTAATCGGTGCCTTTGGTGCAATTTGATATAGTACCTTTGAATATGCATGATGAGCATTGCAAATGAGTGAAAACATTTTTTTTTGAAAGATATAGCAATGTTAGATATATTTATCAAGAACTTCCCTGGAAGAGGTTGGGGTGGGGGGTGAGGGGAAGGTCAAGGCATTCTTTACGTAATTTATGCCTCTGATTAAATAATACTGAAGTGTATATAAGCGATAATGTTTTAGAATACGTGAGAGTAGACACGAGTATAAATGTGAACCCAGTAAGGCTGATAGTAATGCTAAAGATGAGTATATAGGAACCTAGGTCGGCAAAGAAAAAGTGAACTCATTCAGGCACATTGAAAAAATATATCTTGCTCTTTGGACTCGTTCAGACTCTTGGCTCGATCTGAGTCCGAGTAAGTTGACTTGTGAGTTAAGTTTGCCGACCCACATTCCAGGCTGACATATTCTGTAAACAGCAAATTGAACAGTCTGTGATCATGAAACGACTAGTGGACTTGTTCTTGTCATAAAACAAATCAGTTTACCGAGTTGTCTTGTGTGCATAGCTCACTCTACCGTGCCCTCAGTGTGGAGAAGTATGAGCGGGTGGGCAGAGCAGGGTGCGAGAAGTAGAACCTTCAAAGTGGTATAAAAAGAAACAAGGTGTTTAGTTATGATAGCAAGAAAAAAACGCATAAAAATGCTGTGATCAGTTATTGCAGGACATAGGGGTCACGGAAAGCTAATAAAGATATGCTACATGTCATGGCTCATTTTTAAGTATCAACTTGACATTCACTGTTCTCGAAGGTTCCTTTCTTTTTTTTCTTCTTCAGATGCAATGGACAGCTTGGACGAACGAGTGAAACAGTTCTTTGCAAATGCCCGAAAAATGAAGCCGGAACAGCGAGACATGGACTTCGACAAGATTAGAAAGGTGGTCTCTTCATCTCTGAGCACCGCTCCTGACAGGATAAGACAATGCACACTTCTTTTATAAAAGGCCTTTCATGTAGAAAGTGCCATACCGCACTGTCGTGGTTTGCTTGTGCTGTAGTGCGCCATGTTTGTTGCCGAATAATGTTGCGAGATTCGGCCATGGTTCATTGTCGCACTACTGATGCTGCAGGATTATTACAAGGCACTCGAAGATGCGGATGAGAAGGTGCAGATAGCAAACCAGATTTACGACCTGGTGAGTTGTTGCATTCTTTTTTTTTTATAATCACAAGTAGACTGCTGCTTATAACTCGCACTACTTTTCGAACAGATTTTCAGAAATGCTCAATTGGTTTGTGTCGTTAGAGTGGCTTTGTGTACTGGTAGCATTCGTAACCACATTCTGCCAAAAATGTTTTTGAACAGATTCTGCAGTACTATAAACTATAATTTCGTGTTTCTCACCATTGATCAATTCTGACATGTTTAGGTTATTCTCTAGTTTGATAACTTAAAAACTGAGCTTTATTTTTCAGCTGGTGTCTACCTGTTGCCTGATGTCTTCTAACATCCCTTGTTCTCATGGTACTTTGTTACTGTGTTCGGGATTTTCAACTTAGGCTGAATGTGTTAGACTGTATCACCTTATTGATTTGTGCGTGTGCTCAATTGAAAGCTTCCAATTTCTTCACGAATAGTTTCTGTGCAATGCGGGGGTAGTTGAGAAGTCTTCTTTTCACATAGAAACACCGACTGAAACCTGTTATGTTTGTAAATGCTGAAAAACTACTGTGCTGTCATCAAGTTAGTGTATATTCAAACAAGTGTTGGCTAACTGGCCTCTTGTCAATTTCGTAAATTTTTTTTTTGTCACTTCATTGCCTGCATTATATGACAGCGCGTGGCCCCATAGCTTAGGATAAGGTAAGTATGAAGAACCTCTATTCTGTTGTGCCTGACCGGATGGCCTCGGCGGCCGACTTGGAAGTCGCGGCTTTGATCTCGATACTGGTGATCGAATTTTGATGGAGTTGATATGCTAGAAGCCTGTGCTCTGTGCAACGTCAGTGCACACTAAACAATGCCAAGTGAGCCGAATTTTTGGAGCACTTCAGTACAGCTTGCCTCATAGTAATATTATGGTTTCAGCCATTAAACCCCAACAATTATTATTGTTATCCTGACAGAGTGTGTTCAACTGTGGCTCAGGTGGACCGTTACCTGCGACGCCTGGACCAGGAGCTCCAAAAGTTCAAAATGGAGCTGGAAGCAGATAACGCGGGAATCACGGAGGTCCTCGAGAGGCGTAAGAAAGCTATATTTCTGTTTATTTCTCTTTTCTTGCCCTTAATTCTTCATTGCTGATCTGTAGCATAAAGGAGCATCACAAGCACAACGATAAAGTCGCCACACAAGTGTGACACAGCACTGTCAACTGATTTTTTTGGGGGAGAGCCTATATAGTATTATACATACACCAAGTCTCGGAAAGCCCTTTGCCTTGTTTGGGCTCATACGAGCACACAGTTGCGCTGAACACCAAAAACGGCATGAAAGGTCACTACCAAAAACAGCTGAATATTCAAGCAAGAGCTGGCATGCCCTTCTTGAAGGGATTGACTCACATTTCTGAAATGTGTAACCTTCAACACTACCGTAAAATCTCGAGCAAGCGCCTCAATTCGAGCAATTACCTACCCGTCCCCCTTCTGTCATTTTTTAAAAGTTTGCTCTCTGGTACAGAAACCTGCAGCAGTGGCTCTTGGGAACCCAAGTTCCGTCTTTAGATATGTGTCTTTTCTCTCTTATCCCAACACGTCAAATTTCGCATGACGGTTTCCTCTGGATCAGTAAAATGGTAAATGCGTGCGTTTTTGAATAAATAATTTCATTAGAAGCACAGGTTTGCATCCTTTTTGAGGGCTTCTGCTACTGCCATCTTGAATTCTGCTCCACAATCGAGCAAGCGTTACCCCCCCCCCCCCCCCTCCAGATCTCTTCCGATTATCTTTCACTGTGGGGAGGAGGCTTGCTCGAGATTGTGTGGTAAAGCCAAATATTAAGTTGGCATGGATTGTTGAAATAGCATTGCAGTAACTTCGTAGTGCTTCATTCGGGCCAAGCAGATTCTTAGTTGGAAGCAGGAATAGTACTTTAGCGGTCCGCATGCTGTTGGTGCCATTCAAGCTTGCCAGCCTCCAATGATGGGCTTGTGACGTAGAATTTGACATGCCCATTTTTACTGCCCAACAGCCAATGCTGAGGTCGACAGACCATCTAAAGTGACGAAAAATGGAACATATAGACCAGTTGTTCATGTCAAGGGTAACATAGAGAGGTCCCTTTTCTTTTTCAGCAAATTGAACTGAAATGAGTAGTTGCATTTTATTCTATTTTCTAATGCATTGCAGTACTCTGTTACATCATCAGCAGTCCTGAGAGCTTGGGATTTATTTGTACGTAGTGTCTGCCACACAGTCGGGCAGAATACCTAAATGTCCCACTGGAAGTGGAAATTGCACCCTGCATTTACCTCGCTTTCTCTATTATTGACGTGCTGCTATGAGTAATGTTGAATGATGGAAGGGAATTTTCTAGGGCTAGTTTTGTCCTATACAACCTAATGAAAAGCAGCAGATAATAAAGTCAAAGGAAGGTATAGGATAGCTGAACAGTACTCTCTTAAATTGATTGCCATGATTGCGATATAGATTTGAACAAAGTAGACGAGTCGTCGGCTCGCTGCTGGCACGTACCGAACGGGCGACCTTCAGATTACTAAAATACACTTAGAGTAGTACCCTATACCTTTCTTGGCTTTATTATGGGCTGCTTTTCATTGAGGTTGCATATATTATGGACATTTTAAACATTCTAGTGCTTTCATATCTCACTTCCAAGAAAAATTGTCATGTGCCTTTAGTTTCTATTTGAGCATGATTGTTTTTTAGAGGATAAGAACAGGCTTAGAAAGGCATGCACAATCATCAACTATTGAGGTCTGTGTTCTAGCTTGTCTTCAATCCATTCAGTGTCGTTTTTTTGTGCTGTGTTTTTTTCGGCACTGCTCCACAGTATATGCCTACTTTTTTTCTTTAATAATGTTATTTGGGAATTAGTGATGCAGTAATTACTCTCCACAACAGGTATACATTTTTATTAGCTCTATCTCTTCAAATAAAAAGTGGCACTTATAACAAGCAGGTCAGAATTTGCAAGCAGTTCACCTATTAAAAAAGTAGTTAGCCGCTAATCCAGAGTGAAGAGCTACAATTATCTGCTTCCGTCAGAGTCCAGACTCATCAGAAGCTCCTGAATTTCTTTGTTCATCAGACCACGCATGCATGTGGCATGCCGACCTGCCATGGCAGCACTGCCGAGACACTAACAAGGGCGCGCGAACCGAAACACTCGTAGAGACATGCGTTCCATTTGTTGTCAAAAGTATTGCAAGTTATATTTGATCATATGTCCTCCCGGTGGATGACGGGACGCGCCCACATTGTTTTCTTTTAGAAGAGTTGCGTTGCGAGTGCAAAGCAGGCTATATTTATGGATGCTAGACGAGTATACTCGGGAGCGGCAGCGCTTCTGCATGTGTGGTCACTTGAGTTAGCTCGGGAGTGGCAATGAAAGTGTTAATGAAGATTACATTGATCCTGATTAGGTAAAGTAATTAAGTAAAGAAGATGAAGTCATTCCCATGCTGGCTTAGTGGCCGGGGTTTTGTATTGCAAAGCACAAAGGCTTGGTTTTCATTCCCAACCACAGTGGCTGCATATTGATGGGAGCAAAATGCAAAAAAAGGCCCATGTACTTACATTTAGGCACATGTTGAAAAACCGTCGAGGAGTCAAAATCATTACAAGGTCTCCCCGTGAAGACATGCCTCATTTGTCATAGTATAGATTGGTCATGTAAAAAGAGTTTTTGTTTTTCTGCGAGGAATTCGCACTATAGTTGCAAGTGAAATGTGGGAGTAGTAAATGTGTATAATTCCACAACATCTTGTAGGAAATTGCAAAAAAAGGTCCTTTGGTCTGCATTGTCCTGCACAATCGTGTACATGCATTCCAGCACCTTCTAAATTTGTTTGCACTCACATGGAAACATCAATGAGGAGGTGTTCAACTCGTAGCTGTTCAATTGGTCAAATTGTCCAAACAGTACAAAACACATGAAGGAATTCTTTGCCACGTTATTTGTGCTGAATGGCCACTCACATATCGTTGCAGCTCTTTTGTGCTTCAGTTTGATGTAGTGCTCATGTGGTGTGTTTTCTGTCCGTTCAGGGTCCCTGGAGTTGGATAAGCCCCCACCATCCACTGTCAAGGCTGAGAGTAAGTGATCCTCGGACCTGTAATACCCACGTCACACGAGCATAGAAAATGACATTCGGTAGCGAAGGCATTCAGTTCCCGAATGACGTTTTTTTTTTCGGACGCGCTGCTACACATCCAAAGCGAATGACATTTGACTTGATGATGTCGATCGCTGCACCTTCCTCGTGAGCATTGGGTGAGTAGCAATGAAAAAATAAACAAGCCCTTACAAGCTTCATACACATAAGATAATAAATAAATGTGTAAATAAGCGTATTACGCTGCCGTTAGATTTCGTACGTTTATTTGTTTCACGACGTTGCAACCGACCATGTAGCAACTTAAGCCAAAGCTAGTCAGATCCGCAGCGCAATAAGAAAATGGTGCCTGTCGCATTTATTTTAAAGTGTCTACCAGCTAAAGGCTGGTAGACACTTTAAGTTTAAGTGATTAGTGTAAATAAAATACGTGAAAAGCTTCCTTCCAGTCGAATCAAATGTCATTTTATACAATTACTTCGTCAACTGTGCCGTCGATAGTACGTATTTCTAAGTTGATTGAGTTCTGGCGATGGCATTAAGTGATGAATGGCATTTGGGGAATGCCATTTCGTTCATCCGTGTGGCACCGCGCGAATGACGTTCAATCTGAAGGTAATAGGAGGTAAATGCCATTTTCTCTGCCCATGTGGCATGGGTATAATACACTCAAGCTCTCTGATATAACGAACACCGATATAACAAAATATTGGTTATATTTAAGTAATTGAAAAATAGTATTGCAATGAGTACATTGTTATTAACATACCCTCATAATGATTTTTTGTATATAACAAATTTGTTTTCGTGTAAGATGCAATTTTGCTGTAATGAGGTTCGGATGCTTTGGAAAGATCTCATGCTCCCTTTTTGGTCGCTCCTATTTTGCAACTGGGTGGTAATCTGGTAATGACGTCGGGGCTGTGCTGCTATAGCCCCGACAAATTGCGACAAAAAGGGTAGTTTGAGTGAAATAGCTGCATTGAAACCATATCCTTTAGTTGTTCTTAATGTTGTGTGAAGTTTATAAATTTAACTAGGTGTATTTTTGCACGTTTATGATCGGCGCAGTGAATTTATGAAAAGTGGTATTCATTCATGAAAGCATCTCTCTCGTATGTCCACGGACTATTTGATAAAGGGCTCCTGAAATGATTCTTTAAAGCTGTGCAGGTGGTACAGGGCTACAACTAGAGTAGACCATTTATGTCGTAATTTTTGGGCAGTATGTGGTATCAGATTGAGAGAGATAGTGGTTTGAGATTAGGAAATTTCATAAGAGAATCCGGGGTGGCGTCATGGGGTGTAAAAGGGGAGGGAATAATAGGTGAGAGGGAAAGCCATCGTTATGTTTTCAGTTCTTGTAATGCAAAACATGTAGTCTTTGTGGAGCCGTTCTTGCCAAATGCCAGAGCCGTCTGGTGGAAAAGTGGCTGTTTTTGCACCTATCACGCATCTAGTTGCCCCTGCAAGGACGTGATGCGAAATAAACCACTTGCATATTTAGGATCAAGACTGGTCCTGTTGGAAAGCTCTGCATATGGGAAAAAATATAAATCCTTCGTTGAGGCAGTAATATCCCGGGTTCATGTTGACAGATTGCCTGTAGTGGATGGTTGTTTCATAACTCCAGAAGTGTCTGAAATAGAACATACCTGTGAAAGTGCTTTGAAGCATATATGAAATCACTTCCTCTAGATTGCTTAAAATCTGTTTAAGCCAAACTGCTGTAATATCAAGATTTGGTGCTACAGAAATTGCCCGTAATCGCAAGTCTTTGCTAGTATTACTCAAACTCTACGGTACATTCTAAAAGGTTATATGAAAGAACATAACACATTCTGAAAACTTGTATTGCGTTACTACTGTCTTAACATGAGTAAAATACTTGAAAATGTGCAACATCTTGCTAATGTGCTGCATTGAACTTGTAACGTTGGTTTTGATTAAGCAAGAAATGTAACCTTGACAGTCCTTTTCTATTCTAGTAATACACACCTAATGCTGCTATATCAGGCTTGTGCAAATATTCAAGCACTTCAGACTATTCGAACGAATATCGTTGTATTCGAAAGGAACAAAGAAAATGTAAATTATTTCACATGAAATTTCCCTGTAAAGGTGGTTTCACTACAGTGGAGGGGTGCCAGACTGTGAACACATTTTTTGAGCGAAAATCCACACTGTTTCGAAACCTCACTTCAAGGTAAATGAACCTGTTATCCTCACATCGATTCTTTCTTTTTCTAAGTTTGTTTAAAAGCATATATATATATATATATATATATATATATATATATATATATATATATATATATAGATATATATATATATATATATATATTCTGCAGGTAAGTTGGGATGTGACAAATAGGCTCATTTTTGTTGATAAGATGGGATTTATACCATTTGTACTCTGTTCAAAATTATTCTAACCAAACCACTAGGCTTGTGCGAATATTTCAATGCTTTGAATATTCGAACGAATATAACAGTATTTGATTTCGCCTCTATTCAAATTTAAATTATCGGAAATTTCTCAAAATGAATGAAAAGGTGTATATTAGTCTGCAACCCGCATGCAACCACCTGTAAAGCTATTTTTGCTACAGTGGAGGAGTGTCAAGTCGTGAAAGCTCTTGTCTAGATGTATATTAAGGCACGTATAATTTTTTTAAGGTGGTTTCACTGCACTAAAGAAGTGCTAAACCGTGAAAACATCTGTCCAGAAGACATTTGCACTGTAACGCGGTCTCACGTGAAGGTTTAAATGATCCTATTACCCTCGCATTGATTAATCACAATTTAAGTTTGAAAGCTTTTTAGACCGGCTATTATGCTCTAAGTATAGCAAACTTTAAAACACATCATATTTTACAAGTTATCATTTACATTTTCATGAACATCAAAGTCTTCTACTATTAAAGTTGTTTCTACTTCCTTCAACCCAAAAAAAGATGGCATTTGTACAAGCCTTGTTTCAATTAAAAAAAATATATATTGCTTAAGTTAGGTCGTGACAAATGTGCTCACTTTCCTTTAAAATGTGTCATATATATACTATTAGAATTCGATTCTAAATTATTCGACAAAAATCATAATTTGCTTCAAATTATCATCAAACCTAAAATTAACTATTCCCACAAACATACCAATCACGATTTTTTTCGAATTTGCTTCAAAACTTAAATTTGCTATTCAGCATGCCTATGCTATATATCTGAGCAATAACAGTTGTGAATGAATACTCTAAACTTTAAACTAATTTTGTATATCTTTTTAGTGTCTTCCTAATTTAACCTTACCTCGCAGTACAGCAAAAACATCACGTAACAAGCAAACGCACGATATCAGAGCACAGTGGCTTTGTGGTTGCTAGTGTAGTCGTCATTCAGAAGTGGACATGGGAGAAATGCATGCGGTACCTGCTTTTTTTTTAATTTAGCAATTTCTTTCTCTAGAGCTTCATTAAATCCATAGAGATTCTTTCATTGTGGAGCTATTGAGCTTTTCGTTATTCGTAAGTCTTCAAAATTGAAAACTATCATGAACTGGCGTGCGCGCTCTTCCTCCTCTTCCGCTTTGAGACTAGGACAAATGTGCCTATATGTCTGGCATAGGATTGAATAACTCTGATGGGGCAGAGAATGAGTGCAGAGAGAGTGAGAGGGAAATAAAGATAGAAAGATGAAGCTAGAAATAGAGAAAGGAAAGAAAGAAATGAACTGAGACAAAACAGACCGAAAAAAAAAAAAAACAGGAGAGGAAAGAGATGCTAAGAAAGCTGTCCATCTCTGCACTTCAGGCTTGGCACCACTAGTAAAAAAAATGCCTTGATTATCGTTTCTTTTTTTTACTTCTTGTAGAACTTTCTTAAAATCTCTGCACTTGCATCTGCTGATGACAGCAACGCCCATTTCTTGCACTGCGCAGAACGAAAGCACGTCGCAACATCGTTGGGCGGTACCTCGATGAGCAGCAGCGGGCAGCCACCCGAGAAGCGCCAGGCCACGGAGCGGGTCCTCCCTTTGGCTGGCGAAGTGTCCGGCGGGCGGCCCATGGCCGCTGCCGTAGGTGCCACCGCGGGCACGGCGGCACTGGCGCCCGCCGACCGGTTGCTCATCCCGCCGTCGGCCCTCACTTACGGCCTGGGGAGCAACGCCATCGCCGCGGCGGCATCGCAGGCCATCGCTGCAACGCAGCAAGTGGGTGCAGCCGATCTACAGTTGTCTGCGGCTCTAACGCCCGAGTACAGTCGAACCCGGATACGTAGAGTTTTAAGGGGATCACAAAGTTTTTTACTGTGGACTCTTAGACGTAACCTGAAGGGACCAGTAATATGTTCTATTTACTAAGAGGTATCAGGGGGGAGCAGAATTAAAGTGTGAAACTAAACATGTTAAAGCAAAAGTTTCATTTAAACAGCATTTGCATTTAAATGATTTCAGTTTGCTGGGAGTCTACTCTATAATGATAGTTTATTATAGAAAGACTTTACATGTTAAATTATGTTTTAAAGGAATGTTAATTTTGATAGATATACGCAGTGATTTGTTACATGTTAGTTCGATATTTTGGTGTTCGACTGTAATACGCTGAACTGAAAGTAATGCGCCTTTTTTACTATGAGCAACTTACATGAAAAGCAGCATTTAGTGGCGAAATTTTGCAGTAACGCGACACAGTTATCACACGCACTTGCTTGTAGTAGTTATAATAAATAAATAACTATAATGTCGCATTCCAATCTGTAAGTACCGTGTCAATAATAGTAATGCTCGTACAGTCAAACTCAACTAGATTGAACTTTGGCAAATCTAATTATCCGTTACATCAAACTATTTTTGAATAGAGCATGCATTGCGACTACACTCAAACATCGTTATAACGTTATGGGATATAACGAACTAATGGATATAACAAAGTAAATGGAATTTCCCTTAAAAGCTTCATTGAGAACTATGCATTTTAAACCTCGTAACGAAGTAAAATTCACCGGTAAATGAATAGAACGAACTAAATTAGTCTATCAAATAGTCTATCAAAAAAAAAAAGACTGACCGCAGGGTGTTCAGCATATCATTTTTTGCGGAGTTCGACGCTCGTTCGGCGCGTCTCTTTCAAAACTCTCACGCCGACCTTACAGCCACACCAAGCGCGGCCGAGAAAGCCATCCTTCTCGCACAGCCAGCGGAGAGGATCGAGGGTGCACCGCTAGGCGGGTCAGATGACCGAAAAGCGGCGCCGCGGCACTAAACACCTAGCACTTTGCCGCGCTACAAGGCGATTTCTCTCTCGCCTAAGAACCAGTTCGCGCCAGGCCTGTCTCCCTGCTGCGCAGGCGGCAGTCGTGGTTACTCGCGAGGCTTGTCAACGTGTTTGCACAGTGCACGTGCTCTTCGACGACCGATATCTACTGACTGCGGTCTCCTGTGTGCGGTCACGTCGCCATGGATGAAGGCTCGGGAAAGCGCAAACAAAAAACGCTATCGTTAGAGTAAAAGGCAGCCATATTAAAGGCTGTAGACTCGGGGACGAAGGAATCTTGGGTGGTGCAGTGAGCACATTCTTGCCAGCCGTGAAGTGATCACAAATGCCATTACCCACGGTGTGAAAGGCAGCCGCAAGAATATGCGAACTGCAGCGTTCAAGCCAGTCGAAGATGCTGTTTACAAATGGTTTCTTAACGCTAGAGCGGCGAATATGACAATAAGTGGTAAAATTTTGCAAAGAAAGACCAGAGATTTTGCCTGCATAATGGGCCATGACAGTTTCGTCGCTACTGCTGGCTGGCTACAGCGACTGAAAATAGCGCTAAGAAACGGGGACACAAGACGAGGACACACGACACAGGCGCTAACTGTAGCACATGGGTTTGAAGAAGAACATAAAGAAGGGCCCGTTGTACGAGAAATAAAGTTCAACACTGTCGAAATTTGGGCTTGTTGGTGCATTGTGACGACTGAAAATAGCGCTAAGAAACGGGGACACAAGACGAGGACACACGGCACAGGCGCGTCTTGTGTCCCCGTTTCTTAGCGCTATTTTCAGTCGTCACAATGCACCAACAAGCCCAAATTTCGACAGTGCTGGCTACAGCATTTCAGGAAGAGGCATGACATCGTTGGGAGAACGGTAGTGGGGGAGTCTCGTTCCGTTGATGCCGAATTGCCAGCAGCGTGGGTGAAAGAGAGTTTTGGCCCAGTTGAAGAAAAATACGCCTGCAAGGACATTTTTAATGCTGACGAGACTGGGCTCTTTTCTTCAAATGCTCCCTAATAAAGTTTTGTCACTCAGAGGTGAACTGTGCCACGACGGGAAGCACAGCAAGCAAAGAATCACTGTGCTGCTCTGCAGGAACATGGATGGATAGGAGAAGATGCCAGCGTTCGTCATAGGAAAAAGCGCATCGCCTCAATGCTTCAAAGCGAAGCGCAATATGAAGGTGCGATATGTCTCGATTAGCAAAGCGTAGATGACGCGAGACCTCTTTGCAGAATGGTTGCAGGATCGGGACGAGCAACTGCGAAATCATAACCGGAAGGTGTGCTTAATATTAGACAATTGTGCGGCCCACCACACAACTGTTGAACTTTGCAACATTGAACTTTTGTTTTTGCCACCCAATTGTACTTCCCTCATCTAGCCGCTTGATCAAGGGATAATTATGTCCTTCAAAGCAAGCTACCGCAAACGTCTGGTTGATGACTTGCTTCTGAACATGAGTTTGCAGCGAGAAACTAAAGTGGACTTATACATGGCTATTGAAATGCTGCAAGCCACGTGGAGAAGCGTTTCCGCTACATAGCACAATAGGCAGCTGTTTTCGACATGCCTTGTGCGAAGTGGCTACGTGCGACTCCACTAGTGCTGCGTGTGATGAGACCGCTGTAAACGAAGTTGGAACGTCGTGGAAAGCACTTTGTGACGCCAGTGTTGTTGCGGCAGTTGACTCTTTCTGCGATTATGTCAACACTGATGCCGACGCGGTGACCACGGAGGAGCCTACCGACGATGCTATCGTGGCAGCTGTCACCGGACAGATCGACGCAAGGGACGACGAAGACGCCGGGGCCTCGCATGCGTTCGTCGCGCTGACCTCTTCGCAGGCGCTTGATGCGGTCGACCTCGTACGCCGTTTCTTAGGCGCCCAGAACGATGGCGAAAATGGCATGAACGTGATGGCCACCGCCGCAAAAGGAAGTCCTTCGCTTGAGATGTCCGAATCAAACGAGCATCACAGACTTCTTCTCAGTTTGGTCTAGTGGCCAAGAAAATAGCCAGTGTGCGCATTGAGCAAGATAAAATATTTGTCTTCTATTTATTTTCCGTCGTACGCGTGGTCGCGTAGCGTTACATCGGGCCGCGAGGCCGTTTCCTTCTTCGGATGCTTATAAGGTGTGCGCCCATCTGAGCATGCATTGCCGCAAACTGTTATAATTGATATAACAAAATAATAGATATAGCGAAATAATTGCAGCTCCCCTTCAACTTCGTTATAACGTGGTTTGATTGTAGTCAATTGGAAACTATCCGGACGACGAAGGGTGAGCACACATTTTTTTATCGTCAGCCAGCTCCCTTTGTTTAAAGCTTGCTCGAACTTCGCTAACGACGACTTGCGCCCGCGGCGAACGCTTGCCTTTCGTTGCCCCTCCCGAACGCTATGCCGAAGAGCGATGCAGTGTCCTTGCGCGTGGTCCTACTGTGCCGACCCATACCTCTCGAAGCTAACGCGAGCGGTGTTTGCCCTCGATCGAGGGATCGGGTGCTGCGATCACGGATTCTGAGAGGAACGCAGCATGGTCACGAGGACCCGCTTTCCCTCAGCAGCATATCGCTGTGAATCACTTTTGCCCATGGAGGCGTGCTCGTGGCACCCTTTGTGTTGTACTTTTAGCCTTTGGCGTAAATAAGCCTCTTTTGCTTTCCTGCTGCCTTTTTGCGAAGGGTGCTGTGCTGCATTTTTGCTGTTGCCGCAGGCAATAATGTGTTGCGACTCGTTTGAGAGCAGTACTGTGTACGCGACCTACTGTACTCCTGACCTGCCTTGGTGGCAGGGTTCCTACGGGAGCGCGTGTCCCAGCTCTCGTTTAACCGCTCGCGGTAGGTAATGCTACCTATAACGTGTTTGTTTGCTACTCTACGACTGTTTTATAGGGGCTAGAGTAAGAACTCCCGCATTCTGTGATGAACTACCGGCATATATGTGACTATTTCTGCAAACTTGGAAGGCTGGTCAAGTAAGCTATTCGGTGCGATTCGAGGGACACTAAAGGCAACTATTAAGACGACGCTGATTGTTAAAATGGCGGTCCAGCAACCGTGTAGTGTTTCTTTTGTGCCAAGGAAGTGCTTATTTTGAAATAAAATCACGTTTTAGGGGCCCGCACATTTCAAATTATCTGCCCAAACGGAACGTCTCGCGTCACTGTTGCCGTGCACAAAGTTGCCTAGCTCGCTGAGCAGCAGAACGAGCAGCGGAAGCCACAGCAGCAACAACTATTCAACAGTTTCCTGCCATTCGCTCAGAGATGGCAGATGTTATTGGTTCAGCTGGGCTTGCTAGATGGCACGACCTGTCCAGTTTAACCATGCGAAAATTAAACTTTTGAACCACTCGGGCCATTACTCATAGTAATGTCCGGCGGTTCTTTTTTCCATGAATCAAACAGAAATGAACAAGCAGCATTTTATTACATCTCTTGATGCACGGAAAGGGTTTTATTTAGTGCAGCCAGTTCGATTACTAGTGATTAATTGTGGGCGGTTCATCTGACGTAGTCGGAATTATTTTGAGAATGTCCTACTGCAACGCATGTATTCTTGTGCATTTACCTTAATTTCTTGGTAAGTAGGGCACTGCTGTTGTAATATTGTCATTTTAGATGTCATACGTCGAGCTTTCACTCTCATAGAAATTGTTATTGTACTTTAGTGTTTTTTAAAGTAATTATTGCACATGGTTGATGAACTTGGGAACCCGCAGACTCATATAGTGTAGAACAGCTTATGTGGTGCCGCAGCCATTTATTTGCAAAAAAAAAATATTCGGAATGATCTATAGTATATTTATTTCTGACTTATTTTGCATTTGGGGATAATAATTGCACAATATGAGTGCCCTGTTGGCCAAAATGTGACCACAAACGCTGCAGCTGATATCAGCGAACGGGTGCCGGCTAGCGCCACGCCGCTCATAGGTTACGGCCCTAGCGGTACAAGGTACGAACTAGACATGGGCGCTCGAGAGGGGATATCTGGATAGCTCAGTAGTACCGTAGGTCATGTCTGTGTACTTGCCACGCTGCGCTCGGTGCATTGTCTGTCTGAACGCACGTGTGCAGGGGCGTAAGTCACACGAGGCAACTGTGAACGCGGCCCTGTGGACTCGCTAAGATCCGAACCCTCGCTAGGGGCCGTAGTTCTTCAGGATGCGCTGTACATGACAGTTGCGTATAAACGAATGGGTCGTTGTGAAATTCGCAAGACGATTTGGAAGGGTGAAGCTAAAAGGTTGAGTAGGCGATGTGGAACTGCTGAACTTCGTAATGGGACCAAGTGGCTGCAGGCCTCACAGAGCCAAATGGAGCCGAAAGAAGGAAGGTTAAATAAATCCGGGTACTACCCATCCTTCCCGTGCTGGCTGAAGCGCCGTGCATTGCAGCTCCCATAGACACTAGCATCAGAGTTCCCTTTGGTGAGTTAAGGTAGCTCTGTGAGTTAAGCTATCACTTGTAGACAGCAGGCGTTAACTTACCCTAGGTAATACATTCTTCCTTCTTTCTTTCGTTTGATCTTTCGTCCCTTCCCCCAGTATGGGGTAGTGAACCAGATGTGCGGCTGGTTGACCTTCCTGCCTCGCCTCCTCCTTCCTGGCAATTGGTGGAGAGTACTGGGGTTATATTTTCGCATTTTCCGTTTCCAATTGCAGATGCAGCAGGGGCGGCGCACAGCCAGCCTGAAAGCTAGCTACGAGGCAATCAACGCGCTCACCTCTCGAGAGTTCACGATGGGTTCAAAGGATATCGGCTCGCTGACTTCACTGACGCCGCCTCCAGCACCTACACCACCCCAGGTCATGGCGACTCCTTCGCCGGCCGCTGCTGTCGTGGCTGCCCCTGTAGCTATTGCAGAGCCAAAGCGCTCCACAGTCCAAAAAGTAAGATGAATGTGAACCTCGCATCCCCTTTAACTTAACCTTTAAGGGTTTTCAGCCGTACATGTCTGGTGGCAGCTTTCCATCCTACAAAACTTTTACCGTATGAGCACATTTTCAACCTCAGTTTGAAGTTTCACAAGATAATGAGGGTGAATGCTCACTTGAAGGTTCTGCCGCCTGCTACTACTTACAAGAAGCATTTGAAATTTGATTTGGCCGACGAACACCTTCTTGCAGAAAAAAACAGAACTGATTTATAGTTTCAGCATGTCAAGCGATGTGCAGCAATGCTGATGGGCAACGCCCCTTGTGGTTTCGGTTTCTCTGTGTGATTACAACAGAGGTGCACGAGACTTGATTTTTATCTTTTACCTCTATTGCAGGGGTAGTGGAAGTTAATTTCCATCTTTATTGGCACTCCTAGCTTGTTTATCACTGACGCGAGGTTTTCTGGCTCTCCTTGCTTACAAAGTTTAATCTGCACAAGGCAGCCGCACGATGAGATTATGCTGTGTGTGTGACAACACAACTCATCACTCCAAAAGAACTGACACATCTTTTATGTGCGCAGACTGCGATAAGGCACTGTGCGTAGACGCGTGTTTCAAGGAGTGCCACACTCTGAAATACTATTGAACATTTTGCAGTTCCCTGTGGTGCTGACACCAAAATACTGCTCCTAATTTTCTCTCTTCAATATTTTCCTGCCTTTATACATTCAAGATTCACACCAATGTAATTTTACCATCTGGGAAGACTTTTTCAAAGAAATTCGATCCTCAAAGAGTTTAACAGGACACCTAAATGAAACAATAAATTACCTTATGCTGATAAATGATACTCTGAGAACTCTAGTCTCATTAATTGTATCACCATCGATTAGTTGACAGATGAGAAGAGTTTCACTTTTGAATTTTCCTCCAAAATCTGCAATGGTGACGTCATGAATTTTAAAGTGTTTTTGCCATACTTAATCTGCATTAGCGCAGTGGAAGTACCTGAAACTTGATATGTGAAGTCCCCGGTCCTTTCATGAAAGAATTGCCAATAATAAACTCTCACAGTGTAAGAAAAATAATTTGGATGTAGACACTCCGCCCAACGGCACGTCCAGAAAAGGTTCGTCTCTTTCCTCCTGTCGCAGGCTTGCACTTGGCGTCACGGGCGCAGTTTCTCAAAGGAACAGGGACTCCACAATGGCGGCTTTGATGACAAACAAGTTTGGTTTATGTGAAAATGCCACAGCAGGAACGTCTCCGTGTGGGAATAATGAAAAATTCCTCCATGTGATGTATCGGTAATGTTAATGAGACATCGGGAACGTCAAGTTCTCACTTGTTGGTGCTCCAACACAGCAGTTTCAGTGACGTCAGTGCAAGCCATTTATCGGCGAGACGACAGAACTTCAAGTAAAAGAAAGGGGCACGTGGCCATCAACGCTTTAGGAGAAACATGAATTTTTTAATGAGCGAACGTGGTAGTGGCATGTTAGAAGCGTATGCTGCTTATTCCACATGCGAACTAGATAGACATTCTACGAACACCTTGGTTGTCAGCCTCCTGGTTGGTTGCCATAGCAACAGCACGTAAAATGTTTTTCTGGCTTGAACTTGTGTTGCCCCGGCGATAAATATCCGGCGCTGGCGCTGGGCCAACGGGCATGCGCCGTTGTTACTTTATCTTCTTGAACGTGCCTTGCAAGCCAGCCAAGAAACAGTCATCAATGTTATGGGGACGTCGCACAGTTTAGAACTTTATTTGTAGCGTTCTCCCGGGAAGTAGGGGGTTTTTATCATTGTGCTCGTGACTTGCAGGCAGAGCCGGGCGTCAAATCAGTCCTCATTGGCGGCAGCGAGCGAGGATTCGGGTGATTCTCTGCTGATGCTCGGGACTGGTACAGAAGAGGTGAACCTGGACTGGGGTTGCGATCCCAACGAGCCCCGATACTGCATCTGCAATCAGGTGTCCTACGGTGACATGGTCGCCTGTGACAATGACGATGTGAGTACGCCATCAAATGAATGACTGAAAGTGTATACAGTCGAACCCACTTAGAACGATGCCAGTCTAAACCAGTGGTTCTCAGCCATGGATGTGTAGGGGACCCCTTGTGAACTGGTGAAAGTGATAGGGGACCTCTTGCAGCGAAAGGGAGGGGGGGGGGGGGGGTACATAGGTAAATAACAGTACTGGAGCGTGAAACAGGTGCCTGTTATTACTATCGAAAACAAAAAAATGTGCCACATCACTTCATTTTGGACAGTTCATCAATACGTTGCACAGTTGCGCTTAAACAGAGTTGCATATCTGCAGGCACATTCAACCTGTTTCGGTATTTACTTGTAGTCATAGCTGGACTGAACTAAAGAAAATGTAAAACAAAGCAGTTGAGGGTCCGCAGACCCCAGCTGCGAACCACTGTTCTAAACAATATATTGGTTACAATGGTGAGAAGCTACTGCACAGTATACTTTTGCAAGTTTGCTATGGTGAAGTAACCTGCTTACAGCAATGTCCGTATGCCACATTTTCGGTTATAACAATGAATTCTGCTTACTGAATGTCTGTGCTGACAGGCAATGGAACGCAAATTCCTTGAAAGGAAAGAAGAAGGCCCAGTGGCCCTTTGGGTTTGCGGCGTGCTTCTCCGCATAACGTTGTGGCATTACGGCAAAGCTAACTTGCAGGCTACTACAACGCGAGAGTGGTAGTGGCTTCTGTTTATGCACTTTCAGGCATGCAAAATGGGTAAAAAGTCCAGACTTCTAACAGTTTCGTCGTTGAAACTTCAGACATCATACATTGGCTCTGTGGGGTTTGCGAGGGTCCCTTGAAGGTGTCTGAATTTTAAAGCATGTCCCCCCCAAAAAAAATCGGCAGCTTTGTCATTCTTATCACTGATGTCAACATTAGTGTAGGTTTCTCATGGCGGCTTACGTTTCCCCCTCTCCTCCCCCTTTTTTTCGTATTGCCCTTTTGTCGCGATTATCGGTGATAGCAATGACATTTTCATAACACTTGGATATTGTTATAAGTGGGTTTGAGTGTATAGTTTATTGAGTAGCGGTCATGCTACAAAAGACAGAAATATTGTTTCGGTTTCAGTTTAAACATCAATTACATAACACTCATATACAGATGAGGGTCCTATAGTGTGAATACTGCAAACGGGACCGTGAGTTAAAAACTACAACAAAAGGAATTGAAAACAATTGGCAGAAAATTAGCAGGTGGTAACAATAATCTTATACAAGGCAAAATAAGCAGCAAGATGTTAAAACAGCTGAAATAAAAAATGAATAATACAATAAATTGAGAGGCACAATGCAAAATATGATATAAAAAGCAATGCAATGTCAAATGTGATACAGAAGTAATACAAAATAAAAGTTGAGTATGTGCAGAAAAAAAAATGAAAATGAAAGAAAAAAAACGAAAACAAGCACAAATAAGAGAAATGAGGACAAGTGAAAAAAAAAAATTATATACCGTAACTAAGTTGAGCAATCAGGAGTTGAGGAAAGATTTTATTGATGTTTTGAAACATGAAAATGTGGGCACAGATTTAAGTGCCCAGATCTGTGCCCATCTTTGAGGTAGATTGGACGGTAAATTTGAGTAGGTGTTGTTTCAGTTTATATTGAGAGGAACAAGCAGGAAAACCGATAGATCGTTTTAACACACCCTGGCTCTCTCTTTCTTTTGCAGTGTCCCTTTGAATGGTTCCACTACCAGTGTGTGGGCATCACACAGCCTCCGAAGGGCAAGTGGTTTTGTCCGCAGTGTACATCAGCCATGAAACGGAGGGGACGCAAGGATCGCTGAGCGGGTTTAAGAATAAAGAGGACATTGTCAGTGTTGTTGAGTTCTTGTGCACGTGTCTTTGTTCGACAAGTACCGACGAATGTGTTTGAGAGCTGTACAAAATGTACAACGCATGCTTCTCACATGTAGGAAAATGTGTGGGCACATTTGGTACTCGATAGAACATAAGCGAATAATGCTTGGTGGTTCGTGTACTTCAGTACGGAACCCCTAGGCACCTGCTTATCTCATCTAAGCAGGTGCCTGGGGCAGGTGCACCAAGCAGATAAGCAGTGCACCTGCTGATCTCATCTTAAAAGTCATAAAGAGGATTTTCAGGTACAAGGTTGTGAGCTGGTGCAATCGCTTCCAGTGAAGGGCAACCGCTCCGGTTTTCTCTCTTGGTATTACCCGTTTTGTGGGGTTTCGAGGGTGCTTTTGCGCTTATTTCGAACTTAAGATCTTGCATGAATGCTCGTTCATGCACCCTCTGAATGAAGGCTGCTTGCAAGGCTTGTGTAGGTACTGGAACGAATATTAACATATTTGAAATTGCTTTGAATTTAAATTGCTGTAAATTTCAAGGCATTTGAAATAAATTATTGTATATTAATCTGCATGTAACCATGTGTAACGGTGGCTTTACTGCCGTGAACGGTGCTGCTTATACCATGAGTGCACCTTTCAAGAGAAAATCCGCATGACCGTGAAGCCTCATTAAATAAACGTATTACCCTCACATCTATTCTTTGTAAGATTAAAAGCTTGTTATGCAGGATTCTATGTACAGTAAATTTTAAAATTATCATGTTTTGCAGACGGATTTCTTGCATGTTACCAGAAGTCAAATTCTGCCACTATTCATAGTTGCTTTCACGCTTCCACTTCCTTTGAACCAAAAAGAATCCCACATGCCTTGCATCAACAAAAAAATATACTTTGACAATTGTGTTCATTTTTATTCATAATATACGATACACTCTCCAAATTCAATTCGATGTTATTCAAACCAAATCACTTTGCTTCGAGCTTAGCCTACTTTTTATGCAGTCTAAAATTTTATTGGAGCAGGCATTCAAGTGCTGCCCCATCATGAGTGACATAACATAGTGCAAAATTAGCTAACGTCACGTAGCAATAAACGCTAGGTATTGACTTGTAAAATGTCGAATAAAGGGCTCAACATATTCTGATTGCCCAATCGTGCAACAGGCTGCAAACATTGGAGTACCTGCGTGAGATAATGCATCATAACGTTTGGCTCCTCAATACAGAGAGCAACATGTCAACAGGCAGATGTGACTAGACCTACTTGGCATCGTTCCAGCAACTGCGGCGAAGGGAGCGGGTTGGACACAGGCGGACAGTGTTACACAGGCTAGTCAAAGAGCTGTTTCGCATATAAAACTATGTACAGTGAAAGATGCGGCACCTGTAATACTTTAATGTGTTGGGTCAAGAGGGATGCTCTTGCTCTTAACCTGCTAATCACTCTTAAGTATAGTGATGGTCGTCTGTTAGCAGGAGAGGTAAATACGTAATTGACCTGCAAGATGAAGTTGAAAGCTGCGTGCTTCTAACTGCCCCATTTCTCATTTACTCTATCTAGTGAAGGTGTGGGTGTAACCTCAAACTACAGCAGTCATGCTCCACTTGAGGTGAACTTGTGCGTTCATATTGGAACTTGTAGATTGGAACTTGTGCGTTCATATGCAAGTGTCATAAATTGTCCTTTCTTTCATGTCACTGGAACGTACGTGTGATAACGTGTGGAACATGTGAGCTATTATAGTATATTAGTCAAGGTCATTCTAAGCTGCTCTCTTACAAGACAGAGTTCAATTGCTTCTGCATGAGCCAATTTAATTGCCGCCACCATAAGTTCTAATGTATCCAGTCACTAAACAGCTTGCTTGCTTGCAATAATTGTGCTATAAATAATTATTCAAGACTGTTCACCACATAGCACTTTGAAATATCGAACTGCATGTATTATGAAAAGAACGCAAATCTTGTGAAACCAGACCTTCATGATCTTATGTACGGTTATTACAAACTGACGTTTATAACAATAAATAGTACTTTCATGTCGCCTTTCTTCAATGTAATAAATTTTGTGGCTATGTTGTTTTAGTAGAGCTGCAAGTACGCGCTGCAAGAAATCGACTGCCGCGAAACTATTGCTCCATCGCTATAATTTACGGTGAGAACACTTCCTGAAGACTCGTGGCGCATGTGAGAGCGTCAGCAGCGGCGCACGCTTTTGTTCATGTTTTGCGCCCTACTCTAACTTCGTCCCCACTCGCCCACTTCATTTGACCGCCAAGCGAGCGCATCTGCGGAAATGCGCCGGAGCACATGTGGCCCGCGCGTCTTGTTTCCGACGCGCCCCGGCGGTGCGCCCGTGACGACAAATTGCCACGTGACTCTTCGCTGGACCAATCGGCGCGCGGGCGCGCAACGCGTCGCCTTCCCGCAAAAGCCTGCACGGGCGCCATCTTGCTCGCGAGGAGAGGTCGAAGGGCTCTCGTTTTTCGGACCGCCCGGCGTGTTGCTGCTGCAGACGCTTCTTCGCGAAGGGATTCGGTGTTCGTGGTCGCCGCGATGGAGAACAACGTCAACGCCAACAACGGTGCACAGCAGGCCGCCGTGCAACTGGAAGTCGGCGCAACCGTGCGCCCGTTCGATCCGGCGTCTCACGACTTGGACCCCGGTTTCAGGCTGACACGGTTTGCCGATCTGAAAGGATGAGGGTGTAAAGTCCCCCAGGATTCGCTAACTAAACTCCTGGAGGGACTCCTACAACTCGGCGACGGCGATGGACCTTGCCAGCAGCGCCACTATTACCAAGTCCAGGGCCTGCCACGTTCGGGTGAGCGCCCTAATACGAGTGCCACGCAGCATCCACACTGATATGTGTAGTGATGTGAATGTTTGCGTATGTGCGGCTTCATATACATCCCCCGTGTGTTCATCGCAGGCTCGGGTGTCGAGTGCAGCTTGACTCCACTGAGGCACGGTGGACTGTCGCTGGTGCAAAGCGTCGACTACCTGTATCCTCTGGTCGAAGACCCCTATGTCATGGTGAGGCTCATCGTTGCAGCAGTGGTATCTATTGACTGATTGTTGTCAAAGGTCGTGTCACTACTTCTCTGTTCTCGGGATATGCGCCTCTGTACATGTCTTTTTTTAATAATCTGAGATGTTTGCCATCGATGTGTGCTGAAAACCGAAAGCAGTTGTCAGAACGCGGTGATGTTGAAAGTGCCTTGAACGCTCAGTACTGTGAAGAACCCTTAATCGACGCTTTTCTGTCTTGCTTAAACGATAGACCAACACCGGGTGTCACGCGTGCACTTTCGGATCGCGATCTAGCACCGGTGAGGGTCGAGTATCCAGAGCACGTCGATTGCATCCCCGTACATCTTGCACAAACGAGCCAATCAAAATCGAGGAACTGATCGAAATCGGAAATGCCTCATGCGACACGCCTCGCTTCTCTGTTGTGTTGTTCATTGCCTGTTTGGCATCCGCAAAGTGAAACAGCGCAAAGGAAGAGGATGCAAGAAACATCAACACACATGGCCAGTGCGCAACTGCTCCCAACTGAGCTTTATCGATTAAAGTGCTTTTTATAGTGTCACTCAACATCACTGGCAAGATGCCGCACGCACACAAGTAGCCAGTAGCAACCAACAGTCAGTTACTGATCCCTCCTAAAGGGGCCGTGCAAGACTTTTTGTGCATGGTCAGAAAACTCTGCCATTCGGTAGTAGAGGCTCTCGACAACACGCGAGCCAAATATTGTAGCGCAGCAGCCGGCCTGGATTTTACAGTAAATTATCAGTCAGCTGAAAATTTCTCTCTATTCTCTCTCGACAAATTGACGGAAGACGCTCGAAAATCACCTGTAGAAAGCCCAGTATATCAGCCATTGGCTGATTTGAACATGGCGCGCTCGGTCGTTACAGAGATCTGCGAGGGAGGCTGCGACTTGTCCACGCATGTGATCACACTGAAAAAGCCGCGCGTTTGAAGAAGTAAAGAAAAAAGTGCTCAAAGTCACGAGGCGTCCCATGACGTATGTTCTTTGCCCCTGCCATCCCATCCTGCTTTGCTACCAGCAGCTTTCGTCGGGACAAAAGACTGCAATTGCAGCATGGGACAAATTTTAGTAACTCCACTCGCACTGGACGAATTCCTAAAATTTTTGTGGTGTTGAATTCATGAGGCAATAAGCTCTTCCAGTGAATTCATTCCATGGTTACTTAAATTGTTTCAGGGCCCCTTTAACATATTAATAAATTCTTGTTTCGATGCGGTATTGAAATATGCCATGTACTTCGGTGAATTGAACTATGTCGTCACCCTGTTTTCTAAGTCAAAAGATAATGGTCGTAATAGTTGTTCGCCGACAACTTCTGCTGTGTGTGGCATATCTTGTCAGTGGTGACGAGTGACACTGTGAAAAGCACCTTGATCGAATAAAACTCGTTTGGTTAGTTCAGTGCTGTACTTGTGTGTTCATGTGCCCTGTGTCTTTCTGCTGTTAAACTTCCTAGAGGTTGCACCAACTTACTCAGGCCGAAGCACTCCTATTTGGCAGCTGCCTGATAGTGCTCCACTAAAAATCTGTACACTGATGGTTTAAAAGGGTGTGAAGCATAAGTTGTTCCGGGTTTCGTCAGCAGTGTGTACGCACCATGGAGAACGACGACGTATCGTGCAAGAGCTTAACTGTATCGGCCTCCACTTTTTCATTCCTTTTGCAGGGCAAGATTGTGTGCGCCAGTGTCCTGAGCGGACTGTATGCACACGGTGTGACTGAATGTGACAATGTGCTGTTAGTGTTGGGTGTGAGCAGCAAGCTGACGGACAAAGAGCGCGATGTGGTGTTGCCCCTGTTGGTGCGTGGCTTTCGGGATGCGGCTGCTCTGGCCGGTACCAGCGTGACTGGCGGACAGACGGCTTCCAACCCTTGGCTCATCATTGGCGGATGTGCGACGAGCTGCTGCCATCCGGCGGAGTTCATATCGTAAGCATGTTTCTGGATCCATTGGAAATATTGACATGGTGCTCGACTGGTGACCTGAACGTCCCAGGTTTGATCCCGGCCATTGTGGTTGCATTTCAACAGAAGCAAAAGGGTATAAGGCCCCTGTGCTGTGCAATGTCGGTGCATGTTCCCAGAGCCCTCCACTGCGGCGCTTATCATTATCAAATCATGGTTTTGCGATGTAAAGTCCTATATTATTATTATTATTATTATTATTATTATTATTATTATTATTATTATTATTATTATTATTATTACTATTATTATTATTATTATTATTATTATTATTATTATTATTATTATTATTATTATTATTATTATTATTATTATCATGGGAGTGGTTGACGATTTAGAGAGCCATCGGGGTAGCTTGGTGGCTCTGGCATTGCAGAACCAGTGCACAGATAGACAAGTTATAAAACGTAGCTAAGTAAATAAAAGGTTGTTCTAACTGAGATCAGATGCTAGAGAGTTTTCATTTTACAAGTGAGTTTGTCCTAAGAAGGTTTGAATCTGCATAGGCACACAAAATGACTTGCAACATGGTGGCCATCGTTGAAGAGGCTCCAAGCCTATAATGTTGACACGGGCAAACTGAAATTAGTTTTGCAAACACCAGTAGTCTGAACCATGTTTACAGCACCGGTTATTTTTTATGTTGGTGCCTTGGTGCAGTGCGTGTTGCAACTCATAATGGTTGGGGCAGCGTGTTGCAGCTCATATTGGTTGGGACTGCATGTCTTGTTTCTGTGTTCCTGCTTGTGCTGTGTATTAGGATATTGGGGTTGCATATATCCTGAGCTTTCAAACGGCTAGCTGAACGCTGTCGTATTTACTTAGATCAACGAGTTTAGGAGTTTTGGCGCAAAAAAATTTTGCATCTTTTTTTTTGTTACGATAGGCAGCCAACGACCTGCTTATCATGGCTGAAAGCTCGTTTCTTTTAGCACGCGGCAGTTGTTTATTTGGAGACGACTTGAAGCACTAAGTCGCAGTTTTGGTTTTAGAGAGGGCCAAGTGAGGTGGCGCCCAAAGTGGTTTTCGCGTGAACATAGCTGGCTACGTGAGCTCACAAAACTACGTGTAAACACGCGAGCACTGCATTCACAACTCTTTTTAACAAAGGCTTCCTGGGTGCTCGTTTCACATACAATGGCACAAATGTCCTTTAAAATTGATTTAAACATGTTCTAGGCTATAATATCCATTCCTATTTTGTATACGAAGCGTGTCTGTCCACGCAAATCTATCCTTCAGGTTATCTCGCCTTCAAAATTTTGTGTCATTACTCCATCAAGTAATTGGCGTTGGCCAGTGCAACTATTTTTTTTTCTAATAGTTTTGTTCATATCACGGTGCAAGTTGCGCATGATCGGATGCAAAACTGACACAGATTCAAGTGTCATTTCATCATTGCCACTGTGGACATCAATCCATATTTGGTGCAGCAAAACCCAATTCTATAAATTTGCTGATCTATTGAGGAAATTTCCATGTTCTGGCAGGCACCCATCGGGTGTCATCAACTCGAATTTGCAAAACTGACTTAGCCAACGATCTTGTTTTAGGAAAGTTTTATTCCTAAAGTAATTGAGTGTAAAAGCGGCTATTTCTTTAATGTTGGTGTAGACAGGTTTTTCTTCAACCTTGTGCTCCGTGTCATATTGAAGCATCTACCATAGGATGCCAAACAAGGGTACCCCTTACGGTGAAGGATAATCCGATCAGATTTTGGAAGGGGCACTGGCTCGGTCCCGGACTGAAATTTAAGTTGGGGCCGGGATCACCTTGAATGTCGGTTCACCACGTGTATGGGCATAAAAAATGCTTATACACGTTTTAAATGCAATGATTTATTTTTTAAAAGTATTTTATAAGCAACATTAGATACGCACTTAGTGTAGTCATTGTTCTGTTTTACATGAGAAATACTCATCTTCAAAAAAAAGGTGGCCGCAGAGGAGGAAGGGGAAGAGGTGCACGTGCTCAGTCTTTGGCACTTATTTCAAATCTCCCATAAAAGGGATGGAGGGCCGGTTGCTCGGCATTTTGAAGTAGATGCCCATGCGATGGTCCTAGATTTATTTTGACAAGGCTGTGAGTAGTTCCCATGCATGGAACAACAATCTCTGTAGTGCTCTGCTCTGCCGGGTGCCGCCGGGGACGGTGCTGGCTGCTTTTGTAATCTCGATTTGTCACTAATGGCACTGGTTGTTCCCTTGCAACATTGTTGTTTGGCTCCCTCACAAGGTCACCTCACTTGTTCTCCACGTCTTCGCATATCAACAGCCTATGATAGCTTCACAGGACCATCTACATGTCCGTCACCTAGAAATGGCACATTTTCTGTTTGAGCTGTTCTTAAGGATATTTTACGCTCGCAGGCATCAGAAATTTGCAGCAAATAAGATTCCACTGTAGCTTTTGGGTGACGCTACATTACAGTTTTAGAGGTCGAAGGACTGAAATATTCTGTTCACAATATTGCAAAACTTCCTGTTTTGACAAACTATAATTTGAATAGGATCATCATTTAGTTAATTTAAGTATTAACTATACTGTGAGGCTTACATAGATACTGGTAAATGTTGAGCGCACTGTTAAGCATGAGAAGCCAGTTTTCAACTAAACCTCAATCATTTTTCTTCAGTTTATTCTGCAATGACAGTTGTTTGTATTTATTGTTCAGTACTACTCTGTATAGCAACCGTGTGTCCTTGGATAATCAAATGTGATCAGCTGAATGTTTTTGTATGAGGGGCTGCTGCGACCGTTCTGTTTCAGAATAGTTTCATTGCTGTGCTGTCACTGTAGTTAACATTTTAATTTCAATCTTGAAAGGATATTTTTGTGTGGTGATCATTGGCTTCCAAGACTCGCTTTATGTATAATACACAACTGCGCATTCTCTTGAGAATCCTGTAAACCAGTTTCTAATGCTTCAGTCTGGCTTTTCACAATAGATACTTCATAATATGAAGTTTATTGTTTAAGACTTGCTGCTATAGCCACTACCGTGACATCAACCTTGTTTATATTAATGTGAAAACAGACTAGTAATTAAAAAAGAAGTACCTAGTATTCAATTTGATTTGCTTTTGGTACTATTATGTGGTTTCATAAAATTAGGTCTCGAATTTCACTCCTTGTGGACCTGTACAAAATTTTATCTTATGTGGTTTTCATGCATTCAACTTTCATTCATTATTGAATAATTTTTGGCATTGAGACAAATGTGATTTTCACTACTATTAGCTCATTTGTGCAAGCTGTGGATTGGAGTCGACTGCAGGGAAAAGCTGTGATTTAAATCAAGTTCAGTTGCGATCAATTATGGCAATGAGACTTTGATATTGCAGTTTGTTCCCTTATGGTTTATTTTTTTTTGTTCATCCCTCTTGCAGAGCAGACAATGCAGTGGTCGGCGATGTGCTGGTGCTGACCAAGCCCCTGGGCGTCCAGGTGGCAGTTAGTGCCCTCCAGTGGCTAGAACAGCCCGAGAGATGGAACAGGGTTCGGCTCGTTGTGGCTGAGGAAGACGTCCACAAGGCCTGCCACCGCGCCCGTGACTCCATGGCACGACTCAATCGCACAGGTAAGCCAGCCGTTCTGTTGATTCAGTCACCTTGGTGGTTTGCTGCCACAGCCGTGCGAGGGGGTGAGCCCCCCACTTTCCCTTGTAATCATCAAAAGGGGTGGCGTCAGCTTCTCCCCACACCTTTACTGCAGTTGGACCTTCACACCGCTTGCTTTTCCAAACAATCGTTGCAGGGCTTTGTTGCTTCCTTCTAGTGCTTTCTCTTTCCGTTTGTACCAGTGAGTGCATTGAAAGCTATGCATAGGTGGGAGGTGACAAGGGCATACCTGCCGACTCTCCTGAATTATCCGGGTGACTCCCAAATTTCGACCTAATCTCCCGATTGTATGAATGCTATCTGGATTCTCCCGAAAGGTGGCCACCACAGCCGAGGTGTTCATTTTTTTTACTGGGGCGTGTACGTCAGCGTTTCCTGCTGTGGTAGTTGCGGTGCTGTTAAAGAGCACTCGCTGCTACCTTACTAGTTCACAGTAACTGTACCGTAGAATACCGCTAAGTGTATACTGCGCGTCTGTGCGAACGCCGGTGGCGTAAGGGCGCGCTCGGCATCATTCGAAAAGAAGGCGAGAGAAAGGTACCACAACTTTTGCGTGTGTCTTGGCCACGCGCATGATGGTCGTTTCAGTAAGATCATGAGTGCTCACGCGGGCATACGGTGGTGGCGACCTTGGTAGCTGTGCAGCTTACGATGCTCTAGTCAGTCAGTGGCTGTGGACTTTGGGTTTATGGTGTGGTCATTTGGGTATGTGGCATCATTTGTAGAGAAAAGAGGTAGTGATTTCTAGCTGTCTTTAAGCATCAATTGTAACTTCCAGGCCACGTGTCGCGTATGTTCGGCTGGCATGTTCTCAGGAGCTTCAACTACCAGTTGGCAGCACTTTCTGGCCATGCTGAAGAAGGGCTGAAGGGCCCCTGTAGTGTGCAGCGTTACGGCTATGCACATTTTTGACAATTATGGCAACGGAGGACCCGTTATCTATTCAAACAACTGTTTGCTTCTCTTAGGAAACCACGGACCTATGGCAGGCTGTTGTGAGGAGCATATCATCGCTTCATTTTCATTTTTGCATTCATTTCAAAGACTTTTTTTTTTTTTGGAGGGTAGTGAGTTTAATGGCACAAAATTTTATTTTTCGCTTTCTGCAACAAATAAAATAATGTACTTCTAAAACGTACTGCTAAGTGTGAGTGCATCCTGAAAAAGTAATGCCAGTGTGTTCTTGAAAGTTAGTTTTGGTTCCTACTCTATTCCGACATCGCAACACACTATGTATGAGCTTCTTGTCACGTGCTCGTGCAAGGTATGGTGAAATTTTACATGTTGGTGGTGCACAGTTAGCCATTTCGAATGTTTCAGTGACGCAAAAGTGGCCGTTTCTGAAGTTTTGGTGCCTGACATGATCACATTTAGCTAGACCGCTGCATGTAGTCACCAGACTTGAAACTGGGGCCTGATGCGATGTTAGTGTTGAAGTCCGTAGGTGCGCCACGGCAAAATTGACTTTCATATCAAGATAACCTATACCAGCAATCGTTGTGCCTCACGCTCACTCAGAGCTGTCTCTGTGTAAAGGTATGGCAGGGAAAACACACTTCTGAAAAATGGTGGTGGTACTCCTTTAAGACTTGACCTCTTTGGGAAGAAGGTGTGGCGCTCAGGTGAACCCTGACCTATCCCTGTGAAGGAGACTGGGCGGATGTTTCAGTGACGCAAAAGTGGCCGTTTCTGAAGTTTTGGTGCCTGACATGATCACATTTAGCTAGACCGCTGCATGTAGTCACCAGACTTGAAACTGGGGCCTGATGCGATGTTAGTGTTGAAGTCCGTAGGTGCGCCACGGCAAAATTGACTTTCATATCAAGATAACCTATACCAGCAATCGTTGTGCCTCACGCTCACTCAGAGCTGTCTCTGTGTAAAGGTATGGCAGGGAAAACACACTTCTGAAAAATGGTGGTGGTACTCCTTTAAGACTTGACCTCTTTGGGAAGAAGGTGTGGCGCTCAGGTGAACCCTGACCTATCCCTGTGAAGGAGAAACCTGCACGCGCCTACGTTAGCTGCGAATGGTGCTTAATTGAAGGGACAGCGTGAGAGAAAACTTGGACACAATACAAAAATTGACTTATCGTTTTGTAATTCTTTGAATTGCACATTTCGTGTAACACTTTTAACATGTACTGTGCCCACAGATTGGAAAGAGTTTGAATGTGACCCCTGGTATGTGCAATAGCTTGAGAAAACGTCATGGCCACCAAACGTAATGTTGGGTTTGACTTGTGTCTAGTCTGAAATTATGCCGACATTGCACAAAACAGGAGAGGAAAGTAAAAAGCATTACTTAGCACCAAGTCTCTGTGTTTCAGTAGGCCAGTACTGTACAATGTTGTAAGACTCGGAAATAGACATGCAAGGACCTTCGATTTATGTTTATAGATGCACGTTAGCATATTCTAAATTGTTCTTTGTTACCTCAACACTTTTTACATTTCTGTGTAGTAGACACCACAATGTGCGTATTGGTTGATGCCTGCATTTCTCACTTTCCAGCTGCGCTTCTAATGCACAAGTATAATGCTCACGGTGCCACGGATGTACGGAGCGGCGGTCTCCTCGGTCACGCACAACTCCTCGCACGCGCACAGAAGAACGACGTCTCCTTTGTCATTCACAACCTGCCTGTGCTGGCCAAGATGGCAGCCGTGGCTAAGGCATGTGGATCCACCTTCCAGTTGCTGCAGGGCTTTTGTCCCGAAACGTCAGGTAGGTTGCTGACTTTTCTGCAGCGTTTGTGGCCGGGAAAAGTGCTGTGAGCATCACCATTGGCTTGTGTAGGGCTTCCTTTTTTTAATGGTGGAACAGGTCTTGGAATACATCAGCAGTCCGTGGTCCCCGCTATCATCAGAAACCTGCGTGACCTAAACCTTACGCATCAAATTTTGACAAGACAGGTCTGACTCTGTGAAGATGTGGGGTAGACTTGGCACACCCCTCAGGTGATAAGAGGAAGCGGGCAGCAGTGCTACAAAGCACGACACTCACTCAACGAAGCATCTGCGGCACGTCGTTCATTCCACATCGGCATGGAATCAGGCACACCCAAGTTCTCTCGCAGTGTCACAAGCCGGGCGAGCCATGCTCTTTGCTGGTATGATGATCGTACGATGCCACAAGCAGCCCCACGCCCCCTTTATGTGCATGAGCACGACCATAGAGTTTATAATTAGTTAGATGTAAACGCTGGCTGTAAGCAACGTACTGGTTGGCATCACTCCCAAACAGACAATGAAACAATGAATGGGACTGGTTGGTATGTGTGAAAATTTGGTTTATTTTTGTCATTTTTTGAAAGTTTTATAATAAACCTTAAAGGCCCCTTGAGGGCTATTACATAGGCGAATCAGCATGTCCTAAAATCTCAATATATTTATGAGAGATGCCATACTGGAGGGCTCGGGAAATTTCCGCCACCTTGGGGGGGGGGGGGGGGGGCGAAATTCCGCTTAATTCGAAATAATTCCACATTCCGGTATTTTGCAAAGTAAGACTGGGTGGATAATTTGAAGGGCAGGTCAACACAGGTCTGATTAATTCAAAAGCTTGGATGATATGTGCCAATTCCCGATTCCAGTTTTGCCGCAAATCCATGGAAACGACGGGCCTTAAGAGCCACAAGGCAAATAAATGTAGCGACATTGGGGAAAGGCAGCTGAAGCACTCCAGCCTCACCACTTCCAGCGAGAGAAAAAAAAAAAAGGAAATAAGAACGGTCTCGTGGTTAATCAAAACTTGTGCCCGCAGGAAACGCAATGTGCTTCACTGCAACACAGCAGTGACACGCGGGCAGCATGTTGCATGTTTCTTGCAACGTAAGCGGGGCATGATTCACCCATTCTTTCTGGGATTGTAAAGAAATTAATAAAAAACATTAGCAGAATTCGTGATGTATGCGAACTTCCGATTGCCGGTTGCTGAAGTAATTTGCACCCTTGCACTGCTGGCTGAGTTTTTGCCCACAATGCTTACTTCGAAGAAGAAGTTCAACAGTTTCAATTATCATTTTTCGCCCGCAGTGCCTACTTCGAAAAGAACTTCAACAGTTTCAATTATCATTTTTTTTTTCAGTCAAAACACATAGCGAATTTTGTCGCATTGGCAGTTATAAGGTTCCTTATTTTGGCAGACAGAATGGGTGAATGGTCGCATCATGACGTGCTGAGGCAGCGAGAAGCAGGCGACATGCTGCCCGCATGTCACTGCTGTGTTGCAGTGAAGGTGTTTTGTTTTCCGCAGGCGCACATTTCAGTTGATCACGACAGCGTGTTCTTTTTTTCGGTGGCAGCAGCGAGGCCTGCTGTTTCCCCATGTTTGTGGCAAAATTAAGACCTCGTATACATAATATAACCTTTGGAGTTGCCAACTAGCTGGCGCAGCAAACAACCAGCCCTGATTATTCATTTAAGTTGAATAGTTCGAAGTTCCCTGCATCCTACTTTTTTGATGTTTTGTTAATTTGAAAACCCACCTAATTCTAAGATTTCTTGCGGCATCAGTGATTTCGAATTAACGAGGTTTTACTGTACATTCGCCTTAGACGTCTCGAAGGCTAACGCAATCTCTCCTGCTCCCCTTCGAAAGCTATGAAAGCCCACTTTTGACCAAGTGGTCATGAGATAACATCATCATGTGACATCACGTCATGTTGACGTCAACACATGATGATGGGCGTTTGCATCACTCATTTTAACATTGCAAATGCGGGCCACCGATGGCCGATGTTCTCATTTAATTCAGTTTTCACATTTGGAGAGATATCATGTATATAGGATAAGAATTTCACTTGGGTTTTGTCAGATAATTGCCGAAGTTGTTATTTCCTTAAGCAGCCTGATATATTTGTTTTGTTTTACTTTGAACGGTATGTTGTTTCATGATTCATTGCCAATGAATAGATCTAATCTCTTTTCAAATACGTTTCTTGTCTGTTCACCATATCAAGTTCACCAAAAAGATTAGTGGTATTTTGCATGATGATGCATGCATTATTACTGCCACAGGTGGCCTGCTGATCTGTCTGCCAAGAGAACAGGCAGCAGCCTACTGCAAAGACATTGAAAAGCAGGAAGGTTATCAGGCCTGGATCATCGGCATCGTGGAGAAAGGCTGTCGGACAGCGCGCATCATTGACAAGCCACGCGTCATCGAAGTTCCCTCAAAGGACAGAGAAGGTGAACTTTGGTAGCAACATCGTCGGCGCGTATGACCTGTCTGCCACCCTCAGAAACTGCTGGTCGGGCTCCTGGTTCCTTCTGGGTGTCAACCCGCCACAGCTTTGCAGCACAGCAGTATCACCTTGCTCACTCTGTGTTCACCTGAGTGCTGATGCGACGAACTACAGTGCGGGAAGGGATTGCGTGTCGGTGCTTATTTCCAAAACTTTCCTTTGGTCTATGGGGTATTTTTTTCTAGCTGCACCAGATTTTTATTAAAACTGGTGTAAGTCAGCATTACAATGTTTGTGGCATTCGAGTGTTCAGTTTAGTTACCTCTAGGTATAGAAGAATTTGCAGTGTTGTGCATAACTTATGAAGATTTATTCTAATAATGTTCCAATGATTGATGTCGGTCGGTTCAAGCAAATGAGTAGTTTCGAGCCTCTCTTCACAATTTGGCTCGGCCGCTCTCTGTTGTTAGCTCCAAAAATTAATTTTCAGGAGCTAGTGGAACAGCTACGTAGGCATGTATTTTAAATTCAAGAGCCATGAAATTGATGCTTTCAAGGAGCTTTTGAACATGAGACACCTGCGTAGCCTTGTGCCTTAGCCACCTATGATCAATTAATGCTTAACAAATGGAACTTGCTTAATTGACACATAACTGTATGAATTACTCTGTGTCGTGAAGCTGCTAGTCTGATAATTGAATGCAAAAAATTTTCGTCACCATCATATACATCTAGGCCCGATTTTAAAAGGCTTGGTGCAGCTAAAGAAAAAATGCCCTGTATGTTCGGCAACCCGAAGAAGCTAGCTACTTTGCTTCTGATATTACTCCGTCTTTCATCGCAAAGAAGCTGTGTATCGCTAACCTGTACGACGTGCCAACACGTGGGGTCGAGCTAACGGCCACGACTGGGGTAGGTGATAGGGGTGGGGAGGGGGGAGCGTGAACACAAACCTTTCTCGTCGTTTCAATTCTCACTGCTAGATTAGTATTTTTGCCACCTGTTCACCGACCCCAACCATTTCTTGTTGGAAACCTACAGTCGTAACACTTTATTGACTGGAAGTTCTTTGCACACTTACTTCTTAAGGTCTGATTTGATGTGTTCAAATAGGGTGTCATTTGTTGCTGGAATAAAGTTGGAGTCTTTTAGTTGAGCTACATACTTTAGAAAGGAAAGAAGGCAGTGGTGAGAGAGAAAACAAGTACGAGAAAAGTACACAGGACTGGTGCTTAGTTCGAAGTGAGGTTTATTAAGACAAAGTTTTTACACGTCGCAAGACCATCATAGGGTGTCATATCTTTATCGTCAATCGGTGATACTTTATACCATCTCGTCGTACTTTTTTTTCATGCCACTGTCCTGTCATGAACTTCCTTGCTTTTTTTTTTTTCTATTCAAGTCTTGACAAACGCAACAAACTCTGTTACTTTGATGTATTCTTCATTTGTTGCACTGCTTTTAAGTGGTGCGAAAACGGGTCATTAGTACCGAGCTCTGCACATGCTCTAGTCTACTGTGGCCACTGTAAGGGGGTAATCATAGAGTTTCTCGCAACGTTACCTAGACTGAAATGTGGCGCCACCCTCTGATCGACCTTTGTAATGGAATGTGCTACGACGACAGCATCGTCGTACAGTGTGAGTGAGGCTTCGCTCAAAATGCATATATGACTACAGTGAACTCTCAATTGAGTGAACTTCAATGGACCCAAGGAAATAGTTCACTAAACTGAATATTCACTAGAATATGGAACAACATTAAGCACGGCAGACATTAGAGTCAAAAAGCGTGAAATGCAATTTATTTTTAAAAGAAGTCTGTAATTTTCATTTGCACTGCTGCCCTTAAAGCACAAAAAGAGACAAAGCTTTCCAGATAGTCTAGGTTTCTGTGCACTGCCTCTGGCACAGCTTGTTGCTGAGACACCAAGTCTCGCAACTTTCTAACATACTCTACTGGCTCGGCTAAAGTTACAGTATTTGAACCAACCTCAGCCATTACTCTTCTTCTGGTTTAGCACAAACACTCGAAAGAACTTCTAAATCAGATACTTTTGCACAAGTGACAAGATCACTGTCACACTGCACATAGTCCTCAAATGAAGCACCACTGAAAACGTCCAGCTGTTGACAGACCTCTGTCCACATTCCAGTGTCAATGACCGCGCTGTTCTCTTCCTCCTGCTCACTGACCTCGTCATGCTCTTCTTGCTCATTTGCATCCTGCAATGAAGAAAGGCCGAATTCGTGCCAGCAGTTTCTAATTATAGCCTGTGACACTGACCACCAGGAGCCTGTCACCATCTCGGCCGCCTGCCTGACATTGATGGGCTCATTGTTCCCAATCCTTATATTGATTAAAATCTGCTGCACAAGCCGCCGTCGGTACTCGACCTTCAAGTTTTGTCTGATGCCCAAGTCGAGCGGTTGAAGCACGGCAGTGCAATTTGACGGGAGGTATTCGACATACACATTGCTCAAATGGAGATCGAAAAGATGTGCTGAGCAATGGTCTACAATCAAAAGAATCTTTCTTTTTGTCTTTCTCATTTCTTCATCGATGCTCAGCAGCCACTCACTGAAGAGATTCCTGGTCATCTATGCTTTTTGGTTGCTTTTATATGTGCATGGAAGGAGAGAAAAACCTTTGAAACATCGCGGTTTCGCATATTTTCCTACCACTAGGGACCTGAGCTTGTGGCTGTCTTTGGCGTTGCAGCACAACAGCACAGTGACCCTTGCTTGGAAGAACGTGATAAAACATACCAGTTTCATCGGCATTGTATATGTCATCGGGTGAATATCCACTAATGATATCTCGTAGTTTTTTATCCCTCCAGGTTCTCGCCGCTTCATGGTTGGCATGTTTGCTTTCGCCGCAAATAGTTTTCCACGCGATCCCATGCCTATCCCGAAATCGGGTAAGCCATTCGCTGCTTGCTTCGAAGCCAAGAGCGTCTAGAAGCGGAGCAAATTCCTTAGTTTTGCACTGTATCATTGGAATGGACACGGGTATGTTTTGGGATAGCAGGTCGCAGAGCCATACCGCAATACCGCAACGGCATTGTCCACTGCCTTGAAATGTCCCGTGTAGAGTCGTTTCCTAGTAGGATTGAACGAAGTTTCTTCTTAAAGCTTCGATTTCTGTTTGACTATCGTTGACAACGTCGACTGTGCAATTCCGTATTCCTTCGCAACCTCCACTTGCTTTTGCCCACTGTCCAGACACTGAAGGATTTTGAGCTTGTCTGACAGAGACAACCGCTTCCGTTTCGTCAAACTCATTACGAAAGTGGGCGGACGGCGCGTGAAATGGGCTGTTGTTTCCAGAAATGAAGATAGCCGCACAATACCGATGATGCCGACAGATGCCGATGAGACAGACAAAAAAATAAGGGGCGCTGGCAAACTGATGCACTTGTGGCTCGTTTTCGTCACCCGCACGGCCGCTTTGCCTCGGCGGCGCTGCATGAACAAGCGATGTCGCACCACTGCCGATGGATGGGCGATTTAGCGGCGGCTCGCATTAGCTATGCAGTGCTGCAGTGCACAAAAATTTGTTGAATTGATTCAAAAAATGAGCCTGGGTCTGCGGATCAAGTTCGTTCAGTTGAAAAATTCACTATTCTGACATTCGTTTAACTGAAATATTTTTACATAGAATACATAAGAAAATTGCCGGGAATTTTTGAAAAGTTCGTTATTCTGAAATATTCATTAAACCCACGTTTGCACAAGTGAGAGTTTATTGTACTCAGATAAAGCTTCCGTATAGAAATATCGTCATTAACTGTTCTTGTTTGCCTATATTAGGTTCTCCATTGAAAAATGAGTGACATCTGCTTCGTAAAGTGCTGAAAAGAATCAACAGACTGTCACAGAGCAAGTGCCGATGTTGTCATCTGTCCTCCAGCTTTAATGGCTGGTTGGTATCTTTTATGCTTTGTAATGTTGTACACCCAAGCAGAAACCGCGATTATTAAGTCAAATATACTTTTGGCCTGAAGCTAATAAAAGCATAGCTTTTCATGTGTGCTGTTTAGTGCTAAAATAACTATAGTCTTCAACATATCTTCAGAATGATTCCAAACCAAATTCATCATATTCCAGCATTATTAAGCAATAACGTCATCCAGCACCACATTTCTTGCTAGGTAATTGTGAGAAACTGGAGGGCGGGAGCGGGGAGGGGGGGTCAATGAATCCGCGCACCTACTACGACTACTGAGCAGCCCCGAGGCAAGAAGTTCTTCCATATTGCCTAGCCGCTGCTTGGCAAGCACAGTGTAAGGTACCTGTTTGCGTAGAGTTTCCCACAAAACTCACTAGGAGGGCAGCTGGCGCTAGTGTCTGCAGTGGTAGGCTTAGGTATGATGGTTGGCATATATAGGTTTGCCTAAACTTCATTTATGGCTTCAGAGGACCAGGTGAACTTATTCGAAATTGATCACTTCTGGTAGAATACTGGCAAACCTCTATATAGTAATCCTGGGTATAATGTAACAATAGTCTTTTTGCAACTAACTGAGACTTTGTGATTGAGAGGTGTAGCCAGTATAAATCATTAGGAATGCTATGTATCATTGGAGAATGTTAATTGGATATATAATGTGACAAATATATTCCTGCGTCCAATGCTCGTTTTGTTTCGGCAAGGTTATCACAAGGGCAGTGATTGCATTAGCTATGCACGTCAGTGTCGGTGGGGTGGGGGGATGACTTAATGCATCCGTGTGTCTTTGATCAAAAAACAGTCAGATGCGCCGTGTATCAGCCAGCAGTCAGTGTCTCGTCGAGACACCGATACGAGACTCGTCTTCACCAAGTTGACAAGTCTCTCACCATTTTCAACAACTGCCGCTGTCAACTTCAGGATAGTTGTGTCCTCCCAAGAAATTTCTGTGATTCGAGCGTCATGCCATTAGAAACGCACAAGCGCATAAACTAGCTGAATCCATGTATACTTCCCATCATTTGCGCCACATCTGAACGACTTTAGTGCCAGTTCTAACCATAGCAGTGTTTTGTAGGGAACCGTGCGCCTGTTTGTAGCAGCAAAGGCACCATGACGTGCGCTGCCTCTGCCCGATTCTTCGTTTCTGGGCACTGCCAGTGTGGTGGTGCCTGCGGCGTTCTTGTCATGTCTTTTTTGATGTCCTTATGAGTGTGTTTTCTGTCGAAAATGTGTTAGTGTGTGTGTGTGTGGCACGAGGTCTCGATTTCATTTTTCATTTAGAGTTTGGTGGGTGACTTTACCTCTGGTTATGTTCTCCCTAGGTTTATTTGTGTGTGTGCTTTCTTTCGTGGCAGTGTGTCAGTGTTGTTGGGTATTTGTCGTATTTCCTTTTAGATCTAGATTTGTGGCATAAATCTTTGGAGTGGACTGCCTTGCTTTTTTGGGGGTCTGTTACAGCCACACTGTCGTATAGAGCAAGTGCCCAGGAGAGGGCTTGTACTTTTCAAGACGCACAATAAAAACTTCTTTAATAAACGGTTTTGCCTCAGAAATGTGGCATGTTGAACGGTATCTTTCTTCGAGCTGCCAGTTCTCGCTGCTGTTTGTTTTAATACCTTTGCCTAGGTGGAATGCCTTATCTGGAGAGGTCTACAATTGATTTAAGGTGAGGCCCACAAAAAAAATATGAAAAGTTATTGTATATTTCATGCCTGTCCTTGCTTTTTTCTACTGCTTGCTTTTATTTTTACTGTCACTTCTGCAGAACAGTCTAATGTCATTATTTATATATAGCGTGGTCTTATATAACAATAAAGTGGTACATTGTTACAATTCTTGTAATAAGCACATATTTGTAAAAATGATGGCTATTTTAACTAAAATTCAACATTCCCATGTAAACTTGAACTTTCATAAATCTTGCATACTGGCCTTGATGATAAACATTTAGTATATAAAAAAGCGAACCAAAGAAAGGGGTCATAGTTTCGGGTTACGTATGTTTGGAGGGCAGCTATTAAAGTAGAAATTCTGTGTTCTGTGATTGCACTTGATTTTATGTCTTATCATGGTGTTTTGAGACAATTGCATGACATTGAAATTCTCGAACTAAGGTATAAGCAGATATAAGTTACTAGCCTCACGAAACGCTGTAGTCGGGAATTGTTTCATTTGGTCGAATCAGTAACAAAATTTTTGTATACAGAAGCAGGTTTCTCATTTGGAGACTGAATCAGGACCTCTTATAGTAGTGAATATATAAAAAAAATGATGTAATAAACAGCAGTACAGAAAGCAAGCAGTAAAATACATCGCGGAAAAGAAGAGTGTGACTTGAGAAGAAGCAATAGCAGAAAGCTGCAATATAAAACAAAAATAAAAATTTGACAACATAGAAGATAAAGGTACATCTCCTGGACAGTTGTCAGATAATTGCGTGGAGGAAGATAGTGCAAATAACATCAAAAACAAAACAGTGACATCTAATTTGAGCAATGTAGAAAGATGATGCGATGCTTCGTCAACAGTAGGTTGTGAGAAGGCACAAAAGAGAATGAGATAAATAGAGGTGATGACCAAAACTATCCAGATTATGGAAAAGATGTGAGGAAAATCTGAAGTTCTTTTTCGATTTGCTTATTTATAGTGAGGTTTAGATCCCTGGAGGTATGGTATTCCTAAGACCGATTCGAGTGAAGTAGGCTGTTTGCCACATAGAGTTAATATACAGACTGTATATTAACTCTATGGTTTGCCATAGTATGAACCAGGGTTAAAACATAATAGCGATTTTGTGCAGACGTGAAGTTAGTATTCTCTAGACTTGATGGAAGAATTTTAAACAGAGAAAGCTGATCATTGATTTGCTTGACTTGAACAGTAATATTCCTAGATTATATTTGAAAGTGTTATCGACCATTGGGATGTTGTTGGCATATGTAGGAGCATGTCACTGAAATAATGGCTGCAAGTAAGTACTCCAATTGAGTGACTTTGCATAGCTTGAAAGAAACCGAAATGGGTGTATTGCATGTGATACAGTACTTATTATGAAAATGAATAAAAACTCAGTACAGCGAAAGTAATGTAGGTTGGGAAAATATAGAATTGCTTGGTTATATGCAATGATTTGTTGTAGTCTATGGTCACTTGTGTTTCGAATGTAATTGATCTTAGTGAAAAAATATTAAATTATATTAAGGTTCGTTTTACAGGCTTATATAAAGAACCAGTGTCTACCTTCACTATTCGAGTGTGAATTTTCATAATTGTTATGAGTGCACTTCAGTCTCGGAGTCCCCGCAAATAGCACAATTCATGCGTTTCGTTTGTGAAGTGCTTCGTGGAAATTTCTGCCATAAGTGCGGCAATGTTAAATATGTATTTAGTCGCCCTCATTCAAAAGTATTCATATCGTAAAATCATATTTCAGTGAAAGCCCTCACACTTCCAACAGGAGCAAATCTCAGAGGCAATGTTTTTGGTTCCTGTATGCGTCGGAAGTCACAAATACCCTGAAGGTGACTCGCACTTTCTATAGGTCTACACGCAGGTCGAAATCATGAAGCCCGTGTAACCAGCTGCAGGTCTGAATGGTTCACTTGAATCTGATTGCTACGTAAAGCCATAGTATAGAGGAACAAATCTTAAAGGCCATATCTAAAGCTTGCATTTTCTTGAACAGGTGGCGCTACATGTTCACGCAGTGGCGCGTGAAGTCGAAGGGGTTTCGTATCCGTAGCCATCCATAGCCAACGTGGTTTCTGCCGCGAAACTTGATTAGATTCTAGCCCTTGGATAGCAAACTTGGAGAAGCACGAAATGGCTACTCTACCTCGGCGGCCACCCCTTCGAGGACGACGCAAATGAAAATAGGGTACGTAAACGATGGCGCCGCTGGCGTTTCCCGCCGACTAGCAGCCGTAATAAGCGTGTTTAGACAAAGCGCGATGACTGTGGTAGCGAGAAGAGCCCGCTTTTTGTCACACCCGGTCTTCATCAGGAGGCAGTCCCGCCGAGCGAAATGACGAGAAAATAGCTGCTACAAACGCCATTGCTGAAGATGAGATTCGCCTCGTCGACGGGGTGGCCTGGAGATCCCAAATAGCCTGGTAATCTTCTTCTGGCTTCGTGTATGAATGGAGCAACGCGCGAGGAACATTTGGTCGCTAAATAAAAAGAAAAATTCGTAGAGGTGCCTGTGATGGCGCTTCAGCTGGCCTTTCGGGCGCATATCGACTTTCGTGTGCCCGTTGTTTAAAGCTGGCTTTATTGTCCGCCGCCTCCGGGCGAGGAGCGGTGGAAACAGTGTAGCGTTGAGCACCGCTTTTTTTTTTTTCTTCTTGGCTTTTTCCTCGCTTCGTTTTTGATCCTTCTGTTTGGTCTTACGTTACATTTCTTTGTTCTTATTTGCCTTGTCATTTTTTTCTTGACCTCGCATTAAGCGCTTCGCTGGCCGAAGTCATTAAGGCGGCGACGCTCGAGTTGGCCGCAGTGGCACTTCGGTGCTAACAGCTGACGTGCCCCCTTATCAAGCGGCGCTTACGTGCGTTGAATGTGAAAAAAAAAAAAAAAAAGAAATGTGCGAGGCAGGGCTGACATTGCTTCTCTGACACCGTGAGCAAGAAAGAGCGCGGAAGTGGGGAGATGATTGCCGAGCCGTTTTCGAATTAATTGGTCCGTCAGGAGCAGGGGCGGCGCCAGGGGGGGGCAAGGGTGGGCTGGAGCCCCCCCAAAATTCTCGCCTGCCCCCCCTATGCCCACCCAAGTGCCCAGAAGCATATATTGAAAACCTAGTAGGAGCAGAGCTAGCTTGCCCCCCCGGAGGAACTCACTTTTCGTGGTTGCCCCCCCCCCCCCCCCCCAGTAAAAACATCCTGGCGCCGCCCCTGGTCAGGAGAGTGCGCGTAAGGGCAGACGAGCACCTATTCCGTTGCCGCCGTACTCGACATTTTATGCGTAACGTTATCACAGGCACTGCCGGGAGGAAAAGAGGGGCCTTAGGTGCTATGCTGGTGATTACGTCACACATAAAATGCCGAGCACGACCAGCCCCCTCCCCTTAACTTCCCTGAAATTTTTTCAGTTTTACATGTGTCGTACGATTGTGTCCGCCTGAACTTTTTGCAAGGGGATGCAGCCGCAAGGGAGAAGGGGGGTTGGCACCCAGGACAGCTCGTAATCGTCAAGGGCGTTTCACTGTATTTATGGTGCCTAATTAAGTGTGTTCATCATGCAAGCCGTGCAGCTTATTGCTACTGCATGAAAATCTGTTATTTCGATTTACAGGTGATGCAGCCTCCCCCCCCCCCCCCCTCGCAACCGCCTGCGGGCGCCCATGTACACTCTGTCCATGTGTGTTCACCAACATGCATGAACATTACACAAAAAATGGTAACCCTCTCTCCCCCTTCTTCCCTACGTTGGATACGCGCCTAAACGTGGTAGTTTCTTTTTTTCTTTTTTTAGGTATTGTACTACTATGGCGATGGCTGTCTTTTCATCTCTGGAATGAGCGAACTTCTTGCAGACGCGGCATATGTTAAGGTTCAAAAGTATTTATTCATTTAGAAAATACTGTGGTCGCTTAAGGCTAGGCAGGTGGGGAACAATAGAATAAACAATATATGCAAACATCTAAAAAAATTATTGGAATAAACAAAATACACAATGGGTGATACAACAACTATAACAAAAAGATAACAACCTATACATCAGAATAAACAATGGCCGAAATGAAGTTATGGTTGGTTTTAGCCCGAAACTGACCGCGAGCACGATGAAACCTCGAAGTTACAAAATTTTCGATTCAGCGACGCATATATACACGTATGGAAAGCCAAATCGGCAGGCTATGGGAGTCGCGAAGCAATGTTCTGGTCGCGCTGACGTTGTCTACCCCCCCCCCCCCCCCCCCCCCACCACCACTACCACTCCCCTCCCTTTACTTTTTTCTGCATCACTTGACCGATGCAGCACCACCAAGGCATGTGTTTGAGTTTATTCAACCACGTGACAAGTACACGAAAATACAATGTATACGTGGTTTGGTGCGAAGAAAAAAAAGCTGCATTTCACAGCTTGACTGGCCCCTTCACCCAGAAAAAAAATCTAAACTACAAATTTACAAAAAATTACAAACGTTACAGGCAGCGGAAAGCGACAATACAAAAAAGAAACACGCATGTGGCCCATGACAGCAAATAATAGAATCACAACTCTAAAATACATACAAAAATATTCATAACAAAGCAATGCATGAAAGAATAAAAACTGAATAACCATTACAGAAATCACCCAAGATTCATTTACAACACAATCAGCACATCCGATTTAACATTTCAGTTTCAGTTGCAAAATAATAACGGAGGAACTTGGAGCGTGCCGCACTTTATCGAAGAAGAGGAAGCAGAGGGTGGGCACGTGGTTGGGGCAGTTCGCCGCTAGATTTGGCAATAAACGGACGTCTTTCTTTCACGCCTGGGCGACGAGTCATTTCGCTATAGCGAAATGTACGAATGAAAGAGGTGGGCCACACAACAGACGCTG